TTTTCATTGTAGAAAAATTACCAGGAAAGCGCTAGTAGTGTGTACGCAATGCCGTTTTCAGACTAAGTAGCGGGACGTACAAAAGTGACGTCGACAATTTCGTACGTGGGCTTTTGTGGATTTTGTGAGCTTTGGAAAGATACGAACCACTATACAGCATTTTTACTTTTGAACAGAAAGATGGTATAAATACCTAGAGTACTGAGCATGTTATGCTGATACTGGAATAAGGCAAATTGAGCAGAGCAGCTGCAAGTGACAGTGTTAACCGGTCGCACGCTGGGCATTCAATACTGCATATTCTACGGTGCGTGTTGTTTGTTATGTAGGTCCTTGTACGAACTATAGAATGGACAACGGACTTAAAGTCATATTCTAAAGTTTCCTCCTGTACTGATGGACTGTATGGTGCGCTGACAGCACGGAACGACTGATCGATGCGAAGTACTGTGCATAAAGCTGCTTAGTCACGCTAATTCTTCTCGTTCGACGAAATCAGCCATTAGTTACCTACCGATAGCGCTAACAACAAGGACAAGGATAACATAACGTTAACTTTAGTCACGATGTCGTAGTCAGCTTGTAAGATACATGTGTGCTCGATCTATTGTCTCGCTTATTGTAGTCAATATCGTTTCACTTTTACTCTTTAAAGTCGCACAACACCCTGCTGTATCGTATGAGCAGAGATGTGAAGCCATCTTATTTGCCAAGAAATTGGCTTGGCAAATGCCAGGCACACGTCGGCGTGAATATCATGTAGGGTGGAAATGTGGTGCTCTGAAGCTGCACCCATCCGATTTCTCTCCGTCGAACGAACATCTTATAGGCAAAGAGCAAACATACGTCATGCTATTGCCACCATTTTTTTAACCCTGCACTGCTAGTTCCATATAAGACATCAGTCTTTCGTTTAGACCTAGTTGCAGCAACACCAGACTAAAAAATTAGTTCATGAGCCAATTGAATGGCTCCATAACTTGCACCTAAATAATCGCCACCCTTTAGGGTTTTTTCTTGATGAATCTTGCTGTTACTGAGTGCTTGAACTCATAGCGCTTATAGCACTATATAGTTCTCATGATTGGGAGCACCAAGTAGTGTTATGTACACTAAATTTATTATTGGCTGGTGCTGCTATTGGGACTGGTGCTGATAATGAGACTTTTGACCTAGGATGGTGCTGATAGTGAGATTTACTCCCGGAGTAACACGCTGGAAAGCCGGTGTGGAGCGTCTCTTGCCTACAGCAGTGTGGGTGGTGCCTCGCTACCCCCGTAAACTATGCAGAGGAAGGGAAAGCAACTAGAAACTGATTAATTGCTGGTAAAAGTAAACTGTAGTAAACATAATTAGGTCCTAAATACATTGATCAATTTTTAGTCCTATCTCAATTACATAAGCTACAAAAGTGTATGCTTAAGTTTTGCTCACCACTCATTGCGCGCGCCCATCGTTGATTGGACCGCTAGATCTGGTTTATGTGATGATCAATATCGGCCAATCGGCGAGTGTTTCTGAATATTACCTCTTTTGGTGACATCACAAACATCATCGACCTTTTCGATAAAATTCTGACAAACAAGTATCATGGGTAATTGCATGTGACATGCTCACCATATTACAGTCTCACTATCTCAATCAACTTGTTGTGAGATTCGTAGCTTCCCATTACTTTGTTGCTACCGGGCCATGCGTTCATCCGCACTCGAGATGGAGAATAGTTGCACGACAACGAGCTAATTATGCTGCATTCCCGGGACACAGTAAAAGCGCATATAAGCAGGAAGCCGCGATAGATTCAGAAGAAACAAACATGTGCTCTTGCGATGGTCATTGTAAGCTGCGATAATCCATGTTGCGTTCTTATAAGACGTTCGTACTTCATCCTGCGGTGAGCTTAACATGACGGAGGAAATGACATCTGAAGAAATACCATTATAACGTCTCTATTGTCACGGCCTTCGTGGAACGACGAGCCGGATGAGGACGATATCATCAAGCCTTTGTGCCGATGCTACAATCCCTCAACTGGATCAACAATTTTTACTATACACGAGCATATCAAAGTGAAAGTCATGTCCAACTGCGTTTGTGGCTACATTAGCGACTCCGTCGTGAATGATAGGACCGTAAAGCCTCCGCGTCAAACAGCTGGCAGCCACGAATTTTACTTTCGTACTTGACGTGCTTTTCTGACATCGCACGACGTTGTTAGAACGTGGCTGGTAATATGAACTCGCAAATGGAAGACTTTGCCGGTTGTTATAGCCAGTATCACGAATGAGTTGCGCTTCATTGGTCATTGCATAAGACACAACTGATTAGACATGGGACTGTTTTCTTTTTGCTGTTTTCTTTTTGGTTCTTATAGTTTGTATGTGATGGGGCACCCTGAAGCTTGTACTGATGACAGTACAAGCTACACATAATTTTGACGACAGAATAAGGCGGTGCCTCGTAACTTCACGTACACTCGTACGTGCAGAGGAAGACGGTAAGAAGAAGCGAGTACTTGGTTAAAGTAAAAAGTAGAACTGTATTTATAATAGCTAATGTCTGCAATAAATCACTATTTATCCTCATCTAACTATTTCTGAATACAAATGTGTAAATCAACTATCTGCTCACCACTCATTGCGTGCGTCTGTCGTGGCGCGTCTTCGTTGGTTGATATAATGGCCTATATCAACCAATTAGGAACTACTTATAAGTGCTAAAGAATATTTATCCTTGTGACAATATTCTGAGAATATAACTCTTATAGTTATATTCTTTGAACAATTTTTAATTTATGTAACGGTTCACCCCGTTACATTGTAGGGAAAGCTTTTGAGTGTAAACTCGAACCGCGTCTCATTTGGCGAGCCAAATATTGTAGACATGGAGCAATTCTTGGGCTTTTGTAGAAGAAGTTTTACGATCGTTTATTCACATGTTATCATGAGCAAGATGTCTGAAAAGTCCTGAGCCAGGATACAAGCGCAGGTTTTGGTGGCTTGTAGTGACAGATGTTACATCAAGTCGGGTATCCTTGCGGATCTTGCCGAAGTAATTCAATACAGGCGAGGAGACGCGCTTCACTGACAGCAGTGATCGCCGACCGATGTTCGCGTAGAGCGATCGCCTTGAGCTGCCGCAGGCCGCTTTCCTCGATTCTTAGGCTTTTGTCGAAACCGCTCATTAAAAAAATACAATACGAGAAGGCTAAACGCGGCTTTCCTTTGCTTAAACCGGTATAGATTTTAGCATCCATGCTATTTCGTGGATAGCGTGCCTAAGATGCACTTTAAGAGGTAGAGATGACTGTACACAGCACTGGTCGTCCGAATCGATTGCATCGTGCTCTATCCGGGAAGTAGTTTTTCACGGATACACACAGGGTGGTCAAGCGGAGACGATCGCTTACGTCATAGGGTGTTGAGGCAACGCGCAGCTCATGACAAGGGCTCAAGGATTTATGACGCACAATTTTTTTGCGTGCTGTATAAGACGGTCCAGATGAGCTGCTGAAGGGGCAGCGCATCATTGATGATCGGGAGAAGAGATTGCTGGGAAGACAAGGTTGGTGTGTGCTTGCACCTCTACTACCCACGCATTGCGGCATCTGCCCTTACCAACGCACAGTAGTATCAGAAAGAAGTTCACAAGAGCTGGATCAGTATCGATGTTGCCATTTCGGACGACATTTGGCGAGTGCTAACACAAACCTGCCCCAAAGTTCTTTAGCGCTCGTGGCTGATAGACGCGCATGTGCAATCACAACAAGGAAGTCGCAGTTTCATTTTACGGCCCTTTTTCTGATCGTTCGTGATAGCACACAAGCGACACTGACAAATTCCAGTAAAATGTCCAAGACGAATGTTGTGTAAATTAATAAGCGTCGGAAAATAATACTCAACCTCTGTCCCAACGTTGAGCACGAACATTATTTCGTAGGCGCTCCAGCCAACTGGATTGACATCTCCACAAATTGATCAGGAAGTGGGTTCCCAGTGATGATTTACACATGTTCTACTGTAGACGGTCCGACAAGCGACTACAGGATTGTTGGATTTGCTGCTCGTGACCAGGGCTCGCCAAGAGATCGGACTATTCCACCAAACGTCAAAGTCGCCTATGAGCAATCGCAATAGCTTAATTTTTTGGACATATCCCTGCTTCAAGACATCGCTACTCACTAAAACTCTACTGCATTGATGTTGATACACGTGGCAAATCTTAGTAATGTATTTACTACCATGTGTAAGAAGAGTTCTTCTTGCATGAGTCTGCCTTCAGCAGCACCGAACGAGATCGAGTGGATAAGGCACTGAGCTTCTACCCTTGTTGCAACAGGTGAGCATAGATCACGTAGAAAAGAATTCTACTGTTTAACTACATTCTTCATTCATTATTCTCACCGCAAATGGATGCAATAATGTGTCTACAGTCTGGCCATTACGAAATGCATTTAGTGTAAAAAGTGCCATGATCTCGTCCCGCAGTATCATGCGTCCTATCCAGTCCTGCGCAGGATGGGACGCAGGATAGGTCAATCCCGCCCCATCCTGCGCGGGACGGAGCCCTACCCGGGACTGCTTCACCCGTCTATGCAAGCGAGAAGCATCAGATAAATCAGCCTCCACAAGTACGTACCTCGTACAACAAGTTTCTGAATTGAAAACGAGACTGCCTCACAGGACGCTTTCCTCACCTCTATAAATAAATGAGCTTGCTCACACGGACTGGCTGTTATAGGACATCATGTGTAGCGTGGTCCGGCCCGGCTCTGTATACTGTGGACCTCCCCATCTATGTACATAGTGCGAGAAGATCGGGACTTGACGAGCATTGCTGACCCATCCGGCAGCACGACTATCCACGTCAGATTCGTTTCATAGTGACGCCGTAGCTCAAGTGGCCAACCACCACTTGAATGAGACCCCTCGACATCCTCATTTCCAAAATTGCCAACCTTTTTGTCGCCATTACGTTGCACCTACCATCCGCCCGCTGCAATGATCAAGTGCCTCTGTCTTTGCGTGCTCGCGCTCGCCGTGCCTGCTAGTCGTGGCACTCCTTCAGCTCCAGCAGATGAAAAGCTGATCAACTTGACGCCGCCGAGCCAGAGCCCAGCTACGCAGACGGAAGCAAGTGGCTTACGTAAGTCTCGGGCGAGTGACGATACCAGCGACGAAGACGCTGGGGAAGACAGGGGATTAGTGACGCTGGTGGCGCAGCTCATGTACGATTTCACCCGCCTCAAGTCCACCTTCACCTCAAGACGGATGAAAAACCCATTCCTGGAACAAGTAAAACCGAAGCGAGCGACGTGGCTGAAGAAGTGGATCGCAAGCATGTTGCCGACGGTCTCGAAAAAACTTCGGGAAGTGGCAGAGGCTCACAACGACATCAGAAAACACAAGGCCGTTCTATCTCTCGTAGCGAGGGGTGCGCCGTGTGCAGGAGTGTTCGATCTTGGCATCACCTATGACGACTTGTCTCGCATATTGGGCGTGGAAATGGCTCGTCGTGGCCCTGAGGACACGACATCGAGACAATTTTTCGAAAGCTACCTCGGTAAATACGAGAAATGGCTCAGAGAAAACCAAAAAGAAATTAAGAGCACAAAACGCACAAAAAAGCAGAAAAGCAAACAAAACAAAAAAATACGAAAAGAAACGGAAAAAAACAGAAAAAGACAAAAATATAGCCAGTCAGTCGCGTAGATGAGTAACTTGTAGCGGTATGCCTTCTAGCGTGACAGGCAACACCATCGGACTGCCTTCGGTTTTGTGGTGGCGCACACAGAGAAATCGCATAGCGTGTCCGAGTACTCGTCTGTTAGTACAGCAACGTAGGCGTGTAAGTGCACTAACGTTTTTATTATAATTGTTGCCCTACAATATATTCATTTTCTTGACATTTTCGAAAAAATTTGTCCGTTGATGGCGCTCAACAACCGAGCGGTAGAAGGAGAAAAATGATGCTTGTTAAGGTGCAGGAGTGGGTTCAAATCCATTCTGAAGGCCAGGGCATATGATGTTCATGATCTCGAGGCAACGACGGTCTGCAAATTCAATCAGGAAAGAAAGTCAAATTTTATCGGTACAATTTTGAGTGGCACGAATGATTTTGGTCGATATTGGCCCTTTTTGCCTCCAGCGGTAAAAAAATAGACTCCACTCATTGGCAGCATCTTTTGCGGACATTTTCGTGATCGAATTTGCCTTGGTGGCCTTCTCGTAGCTTTACAGCTACCACGATTACTCATAATGTGCGCACGCAACCAGCGACCTTGCAACACTGTGCACCCTCCATCCATTAGGACATCATGGCGAAAGAGTGAACCTCGACTCAGCTGGGAACAAGGGCTACAGTCCTGCCACGACCTCCATGCCATCTTTTCGTGGGGCAACACTGAATGTCTACGATCGGATAGCAATGAGCAGATCCGATGTGACTGCGTAAAGCATGAATTTACATGTTGTCACGCGCTGTTTGCAAGTCATACCATTATATGAAGGATGAGCACCTAGCTTCAGCACGAGTCGTTCAAGCTAGTACATACGCTCACAAAAGAGCACGTACTCCATTTGACTTTTCGGCAACATGGGCGGGCGACACTTTTTCGTCCATAGTGATGTCGTTGTCAGTCGGCGACTGGTTCAATCGTGACATGAGACTAAAAATCGCACTTTCGACCCATTTTATCCCGTAGCCGGCGTTGAAAACACGCGCAGAATCGCTACATGGGGGTACTCTATTCGTGTCTTTACACAAATGTTCAATCGAATGCCCAAATAAATACGCACCCAAAATTGCATCGCCTTCCTCCAGCTTGTGTACATTTCTTTCCGTCGATTGCTGCCACATACAAACTCCCTGTCAAACCGACCGAAAAACTGGCACATCTCCGCCGCACAAATGGACGACGACGACCAGACTCCCCCAAGTCCGTCGTTCACTGCAACGAGAAAGCGCCGCCGTCGCTCGAATTCTCATGACGACGAGTCTCTGTGCGACACGTCGCTGTGCCTGCTGGACGATAGCGAAGCTGCGGCCATGAAGATCCATTCGACGGGCCTGGCAGTGGAAGATCGTACTTTAGCGGAGATGGATACATTTGTTCAGCGCTGCCACTTGTGGCAGCAACAATTGAACTTGCGGTACTCAGAGTTGGCTACAAAAGCCGAATGGATGGCGACATTTGAGGTGACAAAAGTCGTGCGGGACCTCGTGACGAGTGTGGAGACAGCAGCGTTGCAAAGGGCAGTCACGACGAAAGATGTGGAGCTTCAGTGGGCCCGTTGGAGGCTCAGAGACGTGGAGAGGTGCATTTTTGAGCTGCTGGAGGATACACGCGGGACTGAAGAGATTCAAACCATGGAGAAGCAATTAAAGGACGATCGAGTTGTGGAACTCGAGACGCAGTTGGCTCAGAAACGAGCTGTCGAGCAGGAAAAAGCGATGGAGTTGTCGCTGCTGAGAGCAGACGAGGAAGAGATGATGCATGCGCGTCGTCTTGTGCCGCGCGAACAGTTTGAGATGTTGGCGGCAGAAAAAGAGACGATGGAAGCTGATGTGCAACGATGGCAGGAACAGGTGGAGCTCCAGGTAGTTGAAATGGCGCGTGGAGACGAAGAGCGTCGGAACTTGGCAGAACAGAATCAGAAGCTGGTAGAGGAAGTGCGACGGCTGCGTGAGCAGCAGCAGACGAGAGAATCGCAGGTTGAAAAACAGATTGTGGAGAAGGAGAATGAAACCAAGAAACTGCAGGCCAAGTTGACGGCTGCTGAAACCAAGGAAACAGCGATGGCTGCAATGCTGGTGGCCGCAGAAAAAGTGATGGAGAAAAGCAAGCAGCGCAAAGAAGAGCTCGAGATCCTTTACACAAAGTTTAGCTCGGCTATGGACTTGGTGTCCGACAAAACAATGCGGCTGGAGGAGATGGAGCAGACGCTGAACGATTTGCAGAACGTAGAGCATCGCAACAAACAACTCGAGAAGCAGGTTGCTCAGCTGCAGCAGGAAAAGTCGGATTTGTCAGCTGCTGTCCGTCGTTGCAAAAATGACATGAAAGAGAAGATGATTGCGGTGCAGAAGCAGCTTGATGGGGTGAAAGAATCGGAGTATCAGCAAAAGCAGCGTGTAAGCGAATTGGACATTGAGGTTAGAGAGCTAAAGGTACAGAATCAAGCTCTGACAAAGCAGCAGATCAACTGCTCGTATGATGGCGCTCGACAACTGCCCAAGGAAAATGATAAGCCATGCACGGATATGGTTGACGACTTGGTGATCCAAGTCGCTGAAAAGGAAGCGCTGCAGATGTTTGTGCAACGTTACTACACTGCCGCAGAAGAAAAGTGCAATGGATTATTGAAGAGGGTGAGCCAATTTGAGTTGGAGAAAGCACAGCAAAGTCAATTGCGGACCGAATCGACACGCAGTGATTCCAGTAGGTGTGCACACATCGAAAACAATGACGACACCTCTGTACGCAATGCCGGGACCACGTCAGAAGACTCGACATGAGGCCGGACAGCCTATGTTGTTCTTACGTGTCGCTTACTTTGCCCGGTAAACATTGACTGTCAAGTCAAAGGCGGCTTGCGACATGGCAACAGCTCCGCCATTCTTAGTCATGGCCCTAAATAAACACAGGTATCGACTTACGCATGGCGATATCCTGACTCGAATCGTTTGGGTGTGATGAATACGTGCATGTGATGGCAACCGAGGGATAACATAATAGCTACTGCGGTTGGAGCAGTACCTGTAGTTCGAAGTGCGTCACTGGCGTGATCGCAGGTGTTTTTCGATCAGACATGAAAACGATGCGCAAAGAAGACTTTGCCTTTCACCGAGCAAACTTGTGAGCAACGGGTGAGCATTTGTGGCGGGATGCGCGTTTCGACAACGACCGCAAGAGTGGAGTGAGCTAGTGCGAGCTGGAAATCTCACTCTTTCCTAAAACGAAAGTGTCGCTTCGTTTGTGCTCTGCAGCGTGTTATTGTTTGACTCTCGAAAGAAATCGCAATAGCGAGAGTTTGGGAATTAGCAGGGCGGTGAGCTCGTCAAAGTGCCTCTGGACGAGCGCAATGTTGTTCGATGACGGACATGCTGAAGGAAGCGCATAATGATCGGACGTAAGAGTCGTTGTGATGAGATTTCGAAAGCGAGCGTGACAAAAATGGAGATACATCACGCTCGCAAAGTTTTTACTATTCAGTATGCAGTTCAACTAAGTGACATCTGAGTTGGATGAATTCTCGTTACAGCGCCTGTGACAAAACGCTGTGGTACGAATCCATTTATCGTATCGACTTGCGGCCTTGGTCATGTCAATTACTTGAAAGTAAACGATACTTTTTTCTAGAAGCTGAGTAAAAAATGCAAGAAGCATCCTTGAATGCAAGGATGCAACGCGCAATTTATTCCGGCACTACCGGTCGTCTGGAGCCGAATTCCAACCACTTGATTTGTGTCAAGCTTTGGAAGAAGTCATTGTCTTTTGACTCATGCGTGGCTCACATGAAAGAGCGTTCCCGTCGGAGTGTTTTTTGGAGGGTGGCCTAATGAGCTTAGCCCGAAAGATACCGTCAAAATCCTTCATTAACAACTAGCAGCTTACAAGTGTGATAGGAGGTCTTGCTGTTTCGATGTATGCTCATGTATTCGACAGAATCCAAAAGCAGCAAACATCACTGTAATTAGTTGGCCATGTGTCATTGGCCCTGCTTGTGCTTTTGTACTGTTATCATTGGCTTATGCTCCACCTTTGATATCATCGATCATAAACTGATTGTGTGTTTGCCAGAAGCATGACTTACAACATTCCTGGAGTCCAGTCTAATCCTTCGTTGAAACGTCGATACTCACAGGACTACCATCGAGATGTGATGATGGACATCTGTTTAGGTCATGACGTGAACGATACCTAGCTACGTGGGCTGAACTTTAATCAGTATACATATTTGCAGGTAGCACAAAGCAAAGTATGTTGCGCCGTTCGTGTAAGATGCTTTAGATTATCAGTAGCAAGATCTAAGTGATGTGAGGACGGTCGTAGTTCGCTTTATCATTTCACGAAAACGTTGCGCCTCTAATCAACAGCTTGATCTGGAGGCAAATGCACGCTAACGCTTGAATTAAAGCAGCTTATCAAATCCGAAGCAAGATACACGACGATGCATGAACGACGGGAAGCAACCTCGATCCGAAAATGGTAAGCGAATTACGCGCAGGACGCATAAGTCCGTTGCGTCAAAATCCGTATCGTCGTCAGCTCGGTTTATGCTACAAAGACTTGTAACCCAACGCATAATCGTCAGTTGCTAGAAATGTTGAATGTAGATGATAGTAGTGGCCGTGCTGTTTGTGCGACCAACAGTGGCTGTGGCAGCATCGGAACGCTCCTAGCGTTGAGCACCATATCGATCAATCAGAGTCGTCTACGTGGTTATTAAATAAGGTTCAATGCGGCGTGAACCCGACGACGTAAATGTACAGAATGAAAATCTGGTGGAAGTCGTCCTCAACCGGAGGATAATGGAGCGGTAATTAGAGACAATCACCTTGATTGCAACAACTGTGAAGGCATCAACGGGTAGGTGATCAGCTTCCTCATTTTCACAAGTGATTTTTTATCAACCCAGGTGTATTCTTGTATCACCTTCGGGTTCGGACTTGTCGCGTGTACACGGTAAAAACATGGATTGCTCTTAGCGCTCGGATTGTCGGCTTCCACAACAAGCCACGCAGTCATCGCATCGCAGTACTAATGTATCGCTCATCGGTTCTGCCTCTTCGAGAAGCAGAATAATTTACCGAGAACCAAACAATAAGGACGAAGCCAGCACAACATGCAATTGTCGTCTCTAGCACCCACGGCACGTTCAAACATCCATCTCCGTCTAGTACGAAAAGGCTCAAACACCCGGACGTATCAGCTGCAACAAAGTTTGACAGCACAGAACCACGTCAGTCGCCACCACCACCATTGTCACTATGGATCATCAGTCTGAGAAATTGAACTCGATCAATTGAACATGGCCGAGTTACGGAATGATTGAGATTGGACTATGAGTTCAATTGGAAGCCCAGCAGACACTCAAGAGCTTGCGAGTGCAGACAAAAGTACGTGCGACATGCTTGGCACCACGTTGTTTGGTAAGTAGTGTAGGTACAAGCATGAATGATCAGCTCCGACTAGCATTTATCGGTTCGACGACAGATCTAAGCTATTATATATTGCGCACGCTTGCTTGTACGATGTGCTAGACCTCAGCACTAGTCGAGATGCACGGCGGGTACTACATGGACAGCTATCGATGAAAAAAAAGGATAAGTTTCTGCTACGCAGCTATTATTCGGGTCTTTTGTGCAGCCTTCGACTCGACTTTCCGTTCGATACTGAGCCCGTAGCGCCGGTGCCTGTGCCGAGATCTGGAAAATAAGGATAATCGATTGCACAACGGAATAACAAGAAACATCAAGCCCAAAGCAACATTCATCACCGCGAGCACAAGGCATCTACATATCGTAAATCTACAGATCTGCACGGTAGATGACCTGGATATACTGTCTTTTCGGTCATAGGACGTGATTGATACCAGTCGACGAACGTTGTCTTCATGATTGACCCTGCTGTCAACATGGTAAAAAAACAACGATAGTGTCAAGCAATGGCCGATACAACCAGAAGATAAGCACTATAAACGGGTGAACTTTCCATCGTATTGGTTGAGGCCAAGGCCGTTAGAGTTGACTCTTAAGCGAGTGAAGTACTAAACCCTCTCCTGACAAATGATACTACGGTCGCACAGAGATCCAAGGAAAAGCTGTAATCGGCTTGTGTTGCAGTATCACGTGGATCGCCACGAACCAGCATAAAACTTATTCGATGACGATGTAAAGCTGTGTCTCCTCTCTAGTTTGTTTGGCTTCGACCGATTTGGACACAATTTCTTCAGGTAGACAAGGATAGCGTCCGAGCCGTCATGTACCGCACCACGACACATGTTTACTTGCACGTAGTCATAGAGAAACTGAACAGACGAATAGTCACTGATGCAAAAGCAAAGGTCGAGTAAAATTCCGACGGTGAACGTAGTTTTGGAAATCTACGAGAGCTTTGGAATTGTCTTGATCGATTTTACGCTTTAGAACAGGAGTAGAAAAGCACAAAGAAGAGTGAACCGCAAGACCCTATGTATCAGCCAGCTCAGTTCAATCTGATTGTCAGTTTGTATCGTTGATTTGGTTGCAATTCTCCATGTATTAGCCCTCGAGTTTGTCGGCCAAGGCGACGATCGACATTTGGCTTGTTCCCTAAAGGTCAACAAGGGTTGATTCACTTCCATTTTTCGTAATCTTGCACTGCCTTCTTGTGACGACATCAGTTGTTATCACCCTTGCTTCCTGTTGCTGGACAGAGCAAATGCAAGTAATGGACATTATCCGTCGACAACGAAAGCATGTGTATCTCGGCAATCCCCTCGCCACCGAATGCGCTTCTTTAACCATTGGTATACACTCGATGCCACTCGATTTTTCTCTGGTTCGTAAAATCTCGTCAGTTCACGTATTCACCGTTTCTTTACTTCTCCATCTTGTTGCGCGGCAATAATAGTTCGCCCACTTACCATCCTTTTACTTTTACGCTTTTTACCTTCTGCAAAGTAAAAAGTCTTGTTGCAAGAGGCAGCTCATGTAATGGCACTGAGCGCGATATCAAGTCGATTTTACCGTCACTACTATAGTCTGTTATCATCAGATCGGGCAGCTTCGAACCTCGATACAGTATCCTGCTAGTCATCGAAGGCGTAAGAAGAGAATGCACAATAAGAATGGCAAATGTTCCAATATACTCGAACAAGGGTAAGTTCATCGCAAGTTTGAGCATGTTATTTTTGCATGCTGACTAAACTTATGACAGCTTTCCAACTGACTTGGCGACTGGGAGATAAATAGGTGTTAAAATGAGTACGAAAAACTGTATTCTCGACCCATGAGTTAGGCGAAGTTTCCATAGTCGATCGAACCGTAGCTACTTGGTGTGAGCCTTACGACACCCGTCCTCGTTGCAAGAAAGTACACAACTCTACACCGTGTCACCGAGCAGCAAGTCAAATCAAGGCGATATGGGTGAACACAAGCCTGGTGTCCACTCACATCCACTCCATTTCGGTCACGGATTGGTCCCGCTACTTCTTGCTCTCGCTCTGGCGGCGAGGAATGGCCATGATGCAAGCCAAACCACGGTGGACTTCTGCCTCAAGGTATGGACCATCCATCAACTCGCCGTCAACGCACATGAGATCGTCAGCCCGATCTGGCATGACCTTGAACGCTCGAGTCCGCACTTGCTGCACGCCCTTCTTGTCCACATGCTCGCCCGTTTCAATAGCTAACATCATAGAAAGCAGATTCTTGCGTGGGTGGGAGCCGTCCATAAACGTAATGTAGTTAAAGCCGTCGTCCAACTCTGCGCTGGGAGCAAGGTACGCGTCGGAAGCCGCATGCGATACGTTCATCGCCCAGACGACGCGGAAATGACCGCCCAATTCTTTCCATTTACCACCCTTACCAGTCTTCTCGTCAGCTGTCTGTAGATTTGCTCCACCAGGCTGTTGGTGCAAATTATCAGGTAAACCTCGACCTTCTTCGCCAACCAAGTTCATCTTGGGTCGATCCGTCGACTCGGGATCGTGCGTCTCGAAGTACAGCGGAGAGCTCTGATCCTCTTCCTCTTCAAGGTACCAGATTTTGCCCGGATACTCGGGCCTTTGGAACACCAATTGGTTGACGAAAGCTACAGTGAACCGTAGTCCGCCCAGCATACGCAGCTTTTCGGATCCAATGTCAACATCAGCAATAGAAGCCCATCCTACCGATAAGAATGAGTACGTCGTCTCTTTGCCATTGCGCACTGACGAGATATCCAAATCATGCGGCATACCCTTGGCCAAGATATACGCCGCGTTCACCGGCTTGCCCTCCTCACCGCTTCGATGGCAGATAGAATGCGACAGTCCGTTACCTGATCCACCCGGAATGACACCAATCGGCTGTCGAATTGCTCGGTTCCAGTCTGCCCGCTTCATCAAACCCTGTACAACTACAACAGCGAACAAAACAAACAATTTAAGACCCACTCCAGCAAGACACACAGAAACTAACAATCACGTACTCTCGTATAAACTGCCGTCCCCACCCACCGCAACGACACAGTCGTAGACACCCAAGGGCATCGTCATGACGACTTCAGTCGCATGCTGCGCATGGTCCATGACCTTGACTTCCGTCTTCACATTGGCATATTCGAATATTGGTGCCACCTTGCTCTCGTAAATCTGCAGTGCACGTCCTAGAGAACCCACCACATCAACAAAAGCATCAGCAAATAAAACCTCCACCCCTCCCCCAAAATCAATTATTCCGCTACCTGGTCCACTGACAGGATTCACAAGCACCAAATACTTCCGTGGAGATCTCTCCCTGATTTCCAAGTCGTCCAAAGTCTCCACCTTCTGCACCACCTCCCGGTTCCTCGGGTCCGATAGAAAGTTCATGAGCTGCTGGAGCCTGCGCACCTGCTGCAGCTGCTTTCCAGTGAATTGGAACGAAAACTCGACAGCTTTCCGCTTCTTCAAAGACTTTGGCTTGAAGCTACTTTGGCAGGTACAGGCGCTCACAATCAACAAGAATGAGGCATCGGGGTCCGTCACGGAATCAACAGACTCTTGAATGTGCTTGCCGTCCGATGAGCGCACGTGGGCCCCCAAGACGTCGTCCCAAGACAGCTCAATTGTCTCGTTCTTATTATTCTGGACGCTTTCAACCGCGCAATGCAAAGGCGTGAGGACGAACCGAGCGGGTTTGTGGCTATTGATGCACCACAAGGTCGGAACGACTCGATTCAGCTGTAACTCGGCCAGGAGTGAGGCTACCGAGGCGAGATTTTCAGGACGTGACGAAGTGTTGGAAGGTTTGAAGTCGGCCATGGGAGCAATGGTGGATGCTTCTGGGGCCAGGACAGTGGACTGCGGCGTGGTGGACATGGTGAGATATCCCGCTGTTGGGTTGAGAACTGGTCAACTGACGAAGGAATTTTCGATGTGTCTGACTCGATTTGCGAGTCAGCTGAGAAGGGAGCAGCTGTGGAAAACGAACTTAGGGGAGTGGATGGGCATAACCTGCAGTCTCGCCTCCGATACGTGATGGGCACGGTGGACGGCAATCAGCATGACTTAGCAGAGGTTTAACTGATTGCTTTTTGTGAATTGTACATTAAGAGAATCAATCAATTGAGTGACCAAAAAGCGGACCTGGGCACCCAAACCAACCCCCCCACTTCCCTTAAGTACAAGCCCAAATCCATCTTTAAGGTTTTTTTTTACTGCTGGAACAGAACAAAAGGCTCAGGCTCACGAATTGTTTGCTACCTCCCAACGATATGTGTTGGCAAATGTGCTTGTGCAGTAAGAAAATGATAAGATTCTGCGCATTGTTTCTTTGTCTCCCGTCTGTCTGCCTACTAGCCACCCTTTCTCCTAAAAGTCTGTGCTCCAACTGTAACGGGGCACCCTGAAGCTTGTACTGGTGACAGCACAAGCTACTTATTCTGACGACAGAATAAGGCGGTGCCTCGGAACTTCACGTACACTGGTACGTGCAGAGGAAGACGGTAAGGAGAAGCGAGTACTTGGTTAAAGTAAAAAGTAGAACTGTATTTATAATAGTTAATGTCTGTTAATAAATCACTATTTATCTTCATCTAACTGTGTCTAAATACAAATGTGTATATCAACTATCTGCTCACCACTCATTGCGTGCGTCTGTCGTGGCGCGTCTTCGTTGGCTGACATAATGGCCTATATCAACCAATTAGGAACTACTCGTAAGTGCTACAGAATATTTGTCCTTATGACAATATTCTGAGAATATAACTCTTATAGTTATATTCTATTACCAATTTCTTATTAATTGTTATGTAACGGTTCACCCCGTTGCATCACCCCCCCCTTAACCATCAGTCACTTTAGTGACTGATTGACTAAATGGATACTCGTCCCAAATCATTTGGGTCAGGGTTTGCACTTGTTGGTCCGAGTCCACTTTCCAACAGTTCATCGCATGGTTAACAAGCCCATGCGATGCGCGAGCAAGGCCGCCGAGAGCGCGTCCGCACGTCTCTGTGCGGAAGCCGAAGCAGAAACCGCAGCAACTGATGACTCTTCGGTTGCTGAATTGACTCAGCCTGTGTCACCTGGTGATGCAGGCGCTGGTCATGAAGACACTCATGTCTTCACAGAGTATGAGCTCGGTGTCTCATACTCTCCTGATACGGAAGACGGATCCGTATCGACGGCGATCGAATCCAAGCCGCCTGCCAAGCGTGGCATGGATGATGCTATGCGTCGCAGCATCTTTGGTTCATCTGATGAATCGGATGAACCATCGCCGAAGCGAAGGCGCTCGAGGTCGCGAGACTCGGGCGCTAATAGTGGTGTCGGTTCTCCTATCGACACCACTTCGCAACGAGGTGCCCGTCCTTCTGTCGGCACGTCGCAAGAAGAGCGGGACCGCAGTGTGTTGCGTCTCGCTCCCGAGAAGAAGGCATGGATGCCTCCAAAATCCGTCATGGAGCACTTGTCGGCGACGACGAGTGATCGTTGACGAATCGAACAGCCGTGCCGAACACGGCTGTTCGATTCGTCAAGGATCCATCACCTTGACCCCAGTGCGAAAAACTATCGCGCTGAGAATGATTTCTTCATCGATGCTTTCTTCAGACATCGATGGTACAGTGGGAATCACAAACGTGATGGTCCCTCACTGCTTCAAGCGTGGAACGCCTACATCCATAACCTTGAGGATGTAGGTCGTGACGTTTGGAACGACAAACTTATCAAAGCTCGTGATAAGTTTGGAAAGCGAACCCCGACAGGTGCACGCTACAATCTGCATCGTCTGTCTAGGGAGAAAGGGTTACCCTGCCTCTCCTGGGGAGACTCGTGCCCATGTTGTGTGATCAACTCTTCGCGCGCACCTAAGGAGGCTTACCTCCTTCATAGACCGTGGTGGCGCGTACGTATCTCTACTGAGATGTACGAAGGGATTGACAACCTTAAATCCCTTTACGACCGTGCCGAGAAGACTTTCTCCGGCGGTTTTTCAGCGGCACAGGATGTGCCGCGTCGTACTGCTCAACCAGACCCAGTACGTCAACCATCAGTTGGGAGCGGGGCTCCCAAGTATCCCAGGACGGGGGATAACCGCGCCACCGGACGAGATAACTCGTCCGACGTCCGTTCACGTCGCGGTGGTTCAACAGCTGCTCAACCAGATAGCGCTGGCCACCACGAGAGTCCTCTAATGGAGGTGGAGGAGGAGGGAAGACGCTCTCCACACAATCGTGGGGATGCGTGTGTTCCCGAGAGCTTCTTTGATCATGTAACTCTTGCGTTACGCGGCGACCTAGAGCGTGAGCGGGACAGGCGTCTTCAACTGGAGGACACTGTCTTGAAGCATCGAGCTGAGTATGCTTTTGCTCAGCTTGAGAACGAGAGAGCTCTGACATCTCTTCGTAACGAGCTAAGGGTAGCTCGTGTGGATTGTTGATCGGTCTCGGGATGAGATAGCTGCTCTTCAGACCCTTGTTGATGCCCACCATCGGGAGCACAAGGCTCTCTGCGAGATGCTTGAGCGCAAGGGCGTTCTTCATCGGAAGAAGCAGCGTACTGATGGTACGGCTTAAGCCGACCAACGTAAAACGTGGGATGCGTTCGCATCTTACGTGGCAACTCGATCGTGTATGCATTGCCTAGGCGGTGCAATACACGAAATGGGCCGATGTACTTGGGTAGTAGTTCACTGCTACCCAAGTTAGTCACTACATGCTTTGGTAGATTAACCGTAGACAGTAGGACTAAGTCACCTTTATTAAATAAAAGAGTGTTTGTCCTTCCATTCTTGTCTGCGTTTTGCTTTTGCTTATCCACCGCTTCGGCGATGGAGTCTTGAATAAAACGGACTACCGTTTCACGAGCCAGTATGAACTCATCTGATGACTCGTTAGCTTCAGTGCGCTGTGAGTGCACTGCAGAAACATCAATCTTTTCTTCAGTGAGGGCTTCCGCACTCTCACTTGCATCATCTTCTTCGATATCGATGTTATCGATATCGGCATCAAACGCAATGACCTCTTCGTCAGAGCGTGATGAGCGTGAACCAAATCGGTTTTTGCTCGCGCGAGTCCCTCCCCCCCTTAAACCAGAGTTACACTCTAGTAAGGTAGGTACACGCGGATGGCGTAAGCCATTCACGTAAAACGGTGTATTTGTCGTGGACGCATGCACCGAGTTGTTAATGGCAAACTCTAACATTGGCAAGAACTCACTCCAACTCTTAAAGGAGTGTATGTATCCTCGAAGTATCTCTTCGAGGACACGATGGGCACGTTCCGTCTGATTATCTGACTCTGGATGATCAGATGTCGACATCTTCAAGCGCGTTCCGAGTGATTTCAACACGGAACGCCAGAAATCAGCAGTGAATCGTGGATCTATGTCTGATACGAGTTCACGGGGCAACCCATAAAGTCGGAAGATGGTGTCAATAAAGACAAAAGCACAGCCACTTGCCGTGATTGACTCTGGTACAGCCACAAGGTGTACCATTTTACTGAATCTGTCAACAAATACGAGAATACCCGTATTTCCGCGTGCGTCTTTGGGTAACCCGAACACGAAATACATTGAGGTGGATTCCCAGCACTCAGCCGGAACCGGTAGAGGCTGTAAAGGTACACGCAGTGAAGGACTTGACTTCACTCGTTGACAGACTTCGCATGCGCGAACATACTTTCGCACAAACTGATACTGGCGGGGCCAGTAAAAGTCTCGACTCACCTTGAGATATGTTTTCTCCCGGCCACGATGTCCTCCTATAGGAGCATCGTGATACTCGAACATGATCCGCAAACGCAGATCAGTATCATCTGGAATGACAACACGTGGTGTGTCACCAGAAACGGCTGTATAAAACAGTAAACCGTTGTGAGTAGTGTATCGATCTGATGCAGATCGATACGCAGACGACAATCGTTTCAACGATTCTCGAGATGGTGGTGAGAGATGTGTCAACAGCTTCACAATCTCACCATCTTGGGCATACGCCCGCCTCACATCATCATTCAACGTTGTAGATGGGACTGACGACGTCATAACCGCAACAGTGACTGTCTCACTGTTGGGTTTCGCGACTGTTTCAAAGTCGGGCCGACGTGAGAGTGCATCAGCGACGACATTAAGTCGTCCTGGTTTGTACTCTACCGTAAAGTAGTATTCTGCAAAGAATGACAACCACCGCGCCATTCGTTGTGAAAGGTGCGGGCTGTTCACTGCCGTGCGTAATGACGCATGGTCAGTGTAAACAATGAAGGGTCTATCTCCTAATAGATAGACTCTGGACTTCGCGAGTGCATACTTCATGGCAAGGAGTTCCTTGTCATGCACTGGATAGTTCCGCTCAGCTGGTTGCAGCTGCCGCGACTGATAGCGGACGACGCGTTCAACGCCTTCAAGATCGTACTGCATTAATGCACAGCCGATTGCGAAATCGCTGGCATCACAGACCACATGAAATGGCCTGTCCTGATCGCAATTGCTAGGACTGGGGATTGTATCAAGCTCTGCTTGATACCCTCAAAGGAGCATTGACATTCAGCGTTCCATAACCACCTCTCGTTCTTTTTCAACAAACGAGAGAGGTGCACAGTCATCTCGGCTTAATTGCGTGAATACTTGTGCAAATACGCCGCTATCCCAAGGAATTTTCGAAGACCTTTGACATCAACCGGAACAGGCCAGTCGGTGATCGCCTCGATATTTTCGGGATCAGGACGTACACCGTTCTTACCAACGATGCATCCTAGAAGTGGTATTTCGCTTGCTGCAAATATACACTTCTTGAGGTTTGCATACAATTGATGCTTTCGCATGATTGTAAGAACTTGTCGGACGTGGTACCTGTGAACCTCAACGTCCGACTTTCCATCCATATCCCGACTATGACTGAATACGTCATCGAAATAACTCGACGCGAATTCTCGTACTGGTCTCAACAGATGTGATACACATCTGTTGAACGTTGCAGGGGCGTTACTTAGTCTCTGCGGCATCACTAGACACTCCCGACGCACACCACTGAGGGTGCTCACTGCTGTGTACGGGATGTCCCATTCACGCATAAGAACTTAATAGAAACCATCCTTTGAATCCTTGGACGAAAAGATAGTACTCTTTGACATACCATCAATGATTACGTCCTTCCTTGGGATCGGCGTCTGGGCCAATACCGTTGCAGCATTCAACTTGTTTAATGCATGTACTATCCGCCACCCTCCTGCTGCTTTTCGCACACAGAAGGTCGGAGAGATATGTGGGGAAGTTGATTCCCTCACATGGCCCGCAGCTAAACGATCGGCAAAGAACTTGTCGATCGCAAGTACTTGTTCCCGAGGCAGTGGCCACTGCTTCATGACACAGTACTTCGAGCCTGGTTTAAGCTCGACCTCGTGTCGAATATCTTTATCCTTCGGTAATTCGCACGGAACAGTTTTAGGGAATACATCCTTGAATTCAACCAAATCTTCATAGAGAGGATTTGTCTTGAGCGATTCCACGATTGGGAGTCATATCGCTCAATTCGTGTCTTTTCATCTAGGACACTCTCGTCCATAGATGAACTACTGAGAACTCTCTCGTTCTCAGTGAACACTGTTGCTGACCTTATGTCGGCTACACACTCGTCGTCAGCGACGAGTACGCAGATCTGCTTGACTTTGCCACTACGCAGATCACGCAAGAACCTTTTATGTTCGAGCGTTGGCAACTGAGTGATCTCCGAAGTCAACTTCGGAGGCGCAATCAGATCAAGTGTATAAGCGCCTACACTTGATCCGTTATTGACTACGATATTCAATGTCTCTGTCATTTCCTGGGGACTTATTCCCTCAGGCCTCGAAGGACTTATTACTTCGGCTTCCCGGGGACTTATTCCCGCGGATTTCGGGGAACTTATTTCCGCCGTATTTGTAACATCGGGACTTATTCCCTTTACTTCCTCTAGCTGGATTTGCACAACCACAGCGAGATCCTCTACGAAAGACTCTCCAGTCGATCTAGGATTATCGTTTCGCTTAACCTGAGCGATCATTTGTTTCTCTTCTAGATGTTCCCCGCTAAGGATACATCTTTGTCCCGGTCCACTCGACTTATTCGAGTGGTGGACCTTCGGCGCAGCCTGTGTTTCCTCACAGCCGCCGGAACTTTGCTCCGAAGTGTAACCGTTTGGTACACTAAGGTTTTGTGCAGTCGTACTAACGACCGTACCACAAGTGAGGCCATCGCACTCACTCGTAGTACATCCACACGCTTGTGGACGCTCCAAAACGTTCATCAGATGGCCATCTGATGAACAAGCGGCAGGCATCGTTACTGTTCGATGTTGCCAGTTTACCCGTGGTTCGTACCTTCTGAGCCACGGTATTCCAAGGATGACATCAAATTTGTCATCCAAATCCAATACGATAAAGTCATCGTCATTTTGGGTATCTTCTAGCGTCTAGTGGATCTTCACTATACGCTTCATGACGGTTACGGATGCGCCTGTCGCAAGACGTACTGTAATCCTCTTAGGAGGTGTGTCACATTCACTGAACTTTAATTGACCATCTTCTAGCGATTGGCGTTGCACAAAATTGTTGGACGCCCCACAATCGACTAGAGATCGAAGGGACAACTTATTCTTCACTTCGAGTTTCAAGGTAATGAGTGAGATCTCATTACCTAGAGCAGCAACGCACAACGTTTGTGTGTTGGGAGCAAACTTCATCAAGAGGCCTACAAATTCTCTTGACGTTGCTGGACCAGTAGGGTGCTCCGCACCTACTGATCCTGTCCGTTTTTTGACGGTCCATCCCGTTGTTGCGTCTTTGCACCAACTGCGGACCCTCGTCCCTGCCCCTTTCTCATGGGTGGACGGTCACTACGCCCAGTGTCGCGAGACACTGGACGAGGGGCACTACACTCGTAAGCGTAGTGTCCTGTCTTTTGACATCTGTTGCATCTCTGCAACTTCTTGTAGCCTGTATAGCGAGCCTTCTCGCTCTCTACATAACAGAGTTCCATCGGCTCTGGACCTCCGTTGTCATATCGTTTCGGTTGACGATATGATGTTGAACTGGCGCGAGCCTGTCTCAGACTAAAGTCTTCCTGCTCCGCAATGAAAATGGCTTGTTCTAGTAAATCTAGTTCAAGCCGGAACAGGTGAGTCTTGACGGGACCATCTGCAAGACCCTGCATGAACACCGAAACCAACGTGTGTTCATCCACCGGATTGGAACTTATACAACTCGTGAGATGTCGTATATGTTGAGCGTAAGCGTGCACATCACGCTTACCTTGCTTGAGCTTCAAGAGTTCGGTTCGAGCTCTGAACTCAGCTCTAGGCGGTTCAAACGTTTGTCTGAGCCGCGACTTGAAGACTTCCAATGACCCAAACGCATATGGGTCGTGCAACTTGAGCCCCAGTGCCCAAGTCTTGGCACGTCCTGCCAGATTTGACTGGGCAAATGCAACTTGCATATACCCGTCGTCGATGCGACGCGCACTTATGGCTTCATACAATTCGACGAGCTGTCTCAAGAGGGAGTCTTCTTCGACCCCCCTATACTTTGAGATGTCAATCTTCAAAGTCTCGGGCCGACGCGAGTGCATCGACCCACCAGCAGCAGCCTGCTGCTGTCTCAACAGCTCAAACTGTTGAGCTCCCTGTTCTCTCAACAATTCTGCTTGTTGAGAACCTTGTTGGTGAAGCAAGGCTACTTTCTCGCGTTCTGCGTCAAGTTCATTTTGAATGAACTTGGCGATAGTAGCATGTTGGGCATCTCTAATGAGAGCCTCTAGCATGACGCTAACAGCATGGATGCCCATGGTTGAACCCATCCGTTCAACCGCATCCCATTCGACATTGCTCAAATGGGAGTAGCCGTCACGCGTAGCGTGAAAGCTTTGGTCATCTTCATCATCCAACATATTCATAATGATACGAACGTGGTCCTTGGACGGACTACGAAGTGCTACCAGGTATAACGGGGCACCCTGAAGCTTGTACTGTTGACAGTACAAGCTACTTATTCTGATGACAGAATAAGGCGGTGCCTCGGAACTTCACGTACACTCGTACGTGCAGAGGAAGACGGTAAGAAGAAGCGAGCACTTGGTTAAAGTAAAAAGTAGAACTGTATTTATCATAGTTAATGTCTGTTAATAAATCACTATTTATCTTCATCTAACTGTGTCTAAATACAAATGTGTATATCAACTATCTGCTCACCACTCATTGCGTGCGTCTGTCGTGGCGCGTCTTCGTTGGCTGACATAATGGCCTATATCAACCAATTAGGAACTACTCGTAAGTGCTGCAGAATATTTGTCCTTATGACAATATTCTGAGAATATAACTCTTATAGTTATATTCTATTACCAATTTCTTATTAATTGTTATGTAACGATTCACCCCGTTACACCAACCGTCTCAAAGACAGATGGTTGCTGACCAACTTGTCTACCACCATCTTGTACTGACTATGTTAAAACAAATTAACGGCTGGCGCTGCTCGCAAATAACGATCTTCAACATCAACTTCCAACACTCATCCTCGATTACGCCTCCGTTCTTCCCGCTCTCTCCATCCTCCAACGTCCTTGAACACCGTTTGCGTCCTTGAGCTCCTGATGCGCGCATCCACCACGTCGCGCACTACGACGCACCCATTTCGCCCTTTCTCGCTCTTCCAACTTTACATCCGCATTGCGATCTTACTGGAGCCACATCGGGCTGCGCAGCGCCGCCAGCTTTGTTTGCGTCAAGGGCCTTCGTCATCAGGTCCGCGATCATCAGCTTGGATCGAACGTGCTACGCCGTGACGATGCCGCGTCGAGCGAGGTCACGCAGATACTTGTGACGCACGTCGATGTGCTTGGACTTGATCTAGGAGGCTTCTCCTTCGATCTGGGTGATGGCTGCCTGATTGTCCACGTGCATCAACTTAGGGACAACCGGAGCCATGCCCACCTCTCCGAGCATCTGATGCAAGCCAATGAGTTCGCGCGCGACCTCCGACGCCGCGACGAACTCGGCCTTTATGGTCGAAAGGCTAACACCGCCCTGTTTCTTTGCGGTCCACGACACCGCCATCCCATTGAGGAGCACAATACCCCCGTTAACGACTTCCGGTCCGCTTTTTTAGCCGCGAAATCGGCGTCGCTTTAGGCTTCGAGTTGCAGCGTGTCGCGACTCGTTTGCGCCGGCGCCATCTCGAGTTTTAGCGTTGCGGTGCCCTTGAGGTACCGCGCGACACGCTTGGCAAGCTTCCAGTCGAGTAACCGCGGCGCATGCGTCTGCCTTGTTGCTTTATGCACGGCAAAAGCAATGTCCGGCCTCGAGCACCTCGCAACCCACAGTAGGCTCCCGACGAGCGACTGGAACGCGTTGTTCGTCGCACCACCGCCTGCGCTCGTCTTTTCCAGTAGCGCGGTGTCGCCGTTGACCACCTCGTAGCATTCGTCTCCAATCGTCGTCTTCTTCGAGTTCGCATCGCTCATCCCATGAGCACGCAGGAGCTCCTTAATGGCCTCCTTCTGGTCGATGCGGTACGCGCCGTCGCTTCCGAACTCCACTCGCATTCCCAAAAACTTGTGGACGTGGCCGATATCCTTGAATGACAGCGACGCCAGGCTCACAAAGAAGCTTTCTACCACTGCTACGCTAGTTCCCGTCGCCAGAAGATCGTCGACTTCCAACGACGACTAGTTCTTTGCCGGCGCGCTTGAAGTACAGACACATGTCTGACACGCAGCGCATGTACCCCGCATCGCTGAGTCGCTCATGGAGCCACTGGCCCAGAGGTGCCCGGCTTGCCTCAGCCCGTTCAGGCTCCTCCGCAATTATAAGACGACCTCGCCTAAGTGCGTAGCATATATCTTGCGCAGAGTGCTCTCCGATAAAGTCATACCGCGCGGCGCCTACAAGTGAATATCGAGATGCGCTTTCTTCTCGGCACGCACGTATGCGTTCGGGGTGTCTCCGTGCTTGGCCGGCACCCCCACGTTTCTGCAAGCGCCAGCACAACCTTTGCCATCGAGATATCCATCACGGCGGCAAAGGTAAGGTTGTAATCGACGCCGAGCACTTGCCGCATGCTACGATCCTCGCCTTGTATCGCTCTAGCTCTCCGTCGGCTCCCACCTTGGTCTTAAAGACTCACTTGGAGTGAAGATTATTCGCGCCCGGGCTGCGCTTTGTAACGACCCACACGTCGTTGCTCTCGAGCGCAGCGATCTCTTCTTGCATAGCCGCCTTCCACTCAGCACGCCTTAAGCTGCGCATGGCTTCACTATAGTTGCGCGGATCGCGCTCGAAGACTGCGCTGATTACCTCGTCGCTCTTAGCTCGCTCCTCCTGGCGCGCAGCCGCTTGCTCTTGCTTCGATGCACCGCGCGTTCCGTAGGCTTGTCGCGACCACAGCTTCTTGCTCTTCTTGCGACCTTCGCGACCATTTTGAGCTCCTCCTTTATCGTCGCGAGTCGTCACTAATGCCTCTGTTGTAGAAGCTGTATCTTTCGCTTTGTCGTCTCGATATCCGACCTTCTTCGCACGCTGTAGTTGCTCGTTCTGCGCATCGGACAACGTGGAGATGTTTTTTACGTGTTTTGTGACGACCACCTTGCTCTCTCGCTGAAGGAGAACCTTGTAACCCTTCGTATCCTCGCTCACGCCCACGATGATGCCTGTCTGCGAACGCTGCTGCAGCGAGCTCTTACGCGGGTCGCGGTAGACGCTACAAGACGATCCGAAAACGACAATGCTGCGCAGATCTGGCACCTTGCCCGTAAGCACCTCGATAGGTGACGCTCTCTTCGCATTCGCTCGCGTCGGACTGCGGTTCAAGATGTAGACAGCGCACTGCACTGCGTCGCCCCAGAACTGCAATGGCAGCGCGCACGCAAACATCATGCTTCGCGCGAGGCTTAGCACCGTCCGGTGCACCTCTCTGCCTTGCCGTTCGATGCCTGGTTGCGCGCTCCCGATACTTGGCGCGCTACACCCGTGCGATTGCAGAACAAGTCGGCGTTGGCGTACTCGCCGCCACCGTCTGTCCGCAGAAGGTGAACTTTGAAGCCAAAGAGCTTCTCAAAGTGGACGAGGAACGCCTCAAACTGCTTCGCTGCCGCGTCCTTCGTGCGCGCGTGAAACATGCGGCAGTAGTTCATTTTGTGGTCGATAACGTTCATCAGATATCGATTGATGAGGCGATCTTGCGGCGTCATCGGGCTCTTAAGATCCGAGCAGATGACGCCACCGATTTGTTGATTGGCGAGTTGGCTCCGCAGTCTTGTTTCGACTGCGTGTTGCGAGTCTACTTGCCTTCGAGGCATGAAACGCATGCCATGCGCTTCTTGCTGGTCATCCGGATGCCCGATGCTAGTTCGTGCGCTATACGCTCGATAGAATCGAACGCGAGGTGACCAAGTATATGGTGCCAGTGCAGCAGCGAGGCTTCGTGCGCGCCGTCAGCATCAGCTTCCATCTCACGCTCTTCGAGCGCATCCATGATCGCATCTTCAGCACTGTGCCTCCCGCGCGTCGCTGTCGTCTCAACGTACAGCATGTTGCTCTCAAACGCAACGTCGAATGCGACTGTGCCGTCGCTGCGGCGCGCAAGCGCGCTGTTGTCGCCCTCGTACACGAGAGCAAACCCTTTGCTTTTCGGCTTCCCGTATGAGACGATGTTCTAAGCCAGACGCGACGCAAGATGGACTTCGGTTAGCGTTACAGTCATCTTCATACCACGCGCGAGGACCTCGAGGCGCACACTCCCGACACGCGTCAGCCGCAGCGACTCACCATCTGCCATAGCGGTCTTGTGAGAGCAGTCGGTTGGATCGATCAGCAGCGACCCGTCGTTTAAGAGGTGTCTGCTCGCACCGCTGTCGAAGATCCAGTCGCCTCGATCGATGCCAATCGCATCGTTTGCGGCTAGCACGAATCCGCCCGTGTAGGTCTCTGGACGCGGTTTGTTGTTCGCGTCGCTCGCACGATTCACTTTGCCTCGCAAGTTCTTTTATTCTTGCTTTTGGATCCTTTCTTGCGGGCCGCTGACGTTTTCTCCGTGAGCGCAAGCACCATGTTGCCACTCGTGTTGCTCTTCTCGGTGTCAAATACGACCCTTGCCTTGCAATTTGACACGACGTGCCCCGTCCTGCCGCAGCGAAAACACGTTCGCGTGTCTTGGCGCTTCGTCTCGACATGCGCCGCAACGACCTCGCGACCTACCGCGCCACTGCCAAGATCGATCTACTGCGCAAAGTGCGCCAACTCCTCAGCGTGGCGTAGGTAGTCGAGTCGCGTCGGGTCGTACTTCGCCTGCATGACATTCATCAGATCTGGCGACACGTGATGCACGATGTTGTCGAGCACAAGCGAGTCGGTGCCACCTCGGGCATCGCTGACGGCCACCACGTAATGGAAGTGCTCGGCCCAGGTGCGTCGCGCTTCTTTCTTTTCCATGAACAGCTTCATGGCCTGGCTCGCAGTTATTGTCGTCTTGAACGTCAGATGCAGCTGATCCATCACGTGCTCGAGTCTCGGCTGCTGCACCCACCAGGTGTCGACCTGTTTGTGATAGTAGCGCTCCGCACTACCGGCCAAGGAGTGGCCGAGGCGGTCGACCTTTACGTCCTCCGTCCACAAGAAACCGCACAAAGCCTCAGCAAGGCTCACGGCGCGCATAAAGGTGCTACCCCAGTCAAAGAAACCGCTCCCGAGACCTTTGTAACGTTCCGTACCATTAAATATTCGGATGTTGAGTTTTCGCTGACTCGCGGTCGGCATTCTGTAGTTGCCTATCGCTGCCGCCGTGTGCGTCGCAGGTTGTGTCGTTTCTTGACATGCGCGACCATGGGCTCAGCTGCTCGTGCCGACCTGCGACACTGAGATGACGCCTGTCCGCGCGGCAGCGCGAGCAAGGCGAACATCGACTCGCCGTCAACTGGCCAGCGAGTGCGCGCGCGAGGTGCTGCCGGTTTCTCCTCCAGCGGCCCAAGCGCATTGATGGTCATGGGGCGTCCACGCACGTTCGCCCCAAGCTTGGATGCAAACAAGCCGCTCTCGACAGCTCCAAGCATCCTCTCGTCTTCGTCCCGGACGCGCTGCGAAGACTCGAGCTTTGACAGGCGATCGATTAATGTGGCGAGGGCCACGAGGATCTTGTCATCGGTTGCCTCCCCTTTTTTACTGGCGGGATCTTCTTCGACGGCTGCCGGCGTGTTCATCGACGAGGGCACACGCGCAGGCGAACCACGCCCTGGCGCAGCTCGCGCGACACCTCCTTATGGCTCGGCAGTCGCTTCGGTTGCTCTAGCCATTCGGCATATAAACTATTGGCAAATGTGCTTGTGCAGTAGGAAGACGATAAGATTCTGTGCATTGTTTGCTTTGTCTCCCGTCTGTCTGCCTACTAGCCACCCTTTCTCCTAAAAGTTTGTTCTCCAACTGTCTCAAAGACAGATGGTTGCTGACCAACCTGTCTACCACCATCTTGTACTGACTATCTTTGACCAAATTAACGGCTGGCGCTAATCGCAACTTACGATCTTCAAAATCAACTTCCAGCAGTATGAACGTACTCATATCTTCTTTTGTCTGAGCTGAAAGATGTTTCACAGGGAAAGCCAAATATTTTACATTTTTAACCGTGTCTTGCCTGTTAGTGCGATATTTGAGCATTATAAAATGTCGCAAATCTGTCTTACCAATGAAAAAAGGTCTGCAAATATGCAAACACAAGGACGAAAATTCAGATATATCTTAAACGGCACTGGCGAAATGGGCTACGGTGGAGGTTGGCCTCGTGAAAACTCTGTCACAGGCATCAATCAGCAAGATGTTTTGAAAGCGGTCTAATCCGGAGAATATGGATCCACGCAGCCAAAATGCCAAGCGACAGCGACTGGTTAAACATCCCATAATGGGAGAAGCTTTGTCTCTTTAAGTCCTGCAATGTCAATGTGGCAAAGACACTACTCAAATTTTGTACGAGGATCGGTTTCCACCCAGTTAAGATGTCACCCACTGGCGGAAGAGGTACGCCTAGGACCAGGCGATGCAACGTGATTTGAGACGGGGCGTAGAAAGGGGTGATTCCAACGGTGCGATCTGGGACGAGGGACTGGATTGAACCGAACGACCACTCTAAAGGCTGATCAAAGGAAAGGATGTGGATGTTGAAGCAGAATCATTTGAGAAAGTACGCCTGGGACCAGGCGATGCGAGTGGTTTGAGACGGGCGTAGCAAGGGGTGATTTCACGGTGCGATCTGGGACGAGGGACTGGATTGAACCGAACGACCACTCTAAAGGCTGATCAAAGGAAAGGATGTGGATGTTGAAGCAGAATCATTTGAGAAAGTACGCCTGGGACCAGGCGATGCGACGTGGTTTGAGACGGGGCGTAGCAAGGGGTGATTTCCACGGTGCGATCTGGGACGAGGGACTGGATTGAACCGAACGACCACTCTGAAGGCTGATCAGAGGCAAGGATGTGGATGTTGAAGCAGAATCATTTTGAAAAAGCATCGGAGTGCACACAATGAACGGAAGAACATATATGACCGGATTGTACTGTGTCGATCCTCAACAATCTCGAATTGGGCATCAGATCGGTCATGATCCCCACTGATTATGGATGTATCGTTGATGAGAATTTTGGATCATGACAAACATGCTTGTTGAAGGTCCATGAGTGATGTCTCAAAAGTTCAGATCAAAAGAGCCAGTGGAAGCCGGTTAAATTGACGTCGCAAAATGGATTTAGACGCCTTCGGCATTTGGGCACTATTTTGGGCTTTTGGGTACCAAAAATGGGTATTTGGTACCCCATTTGGGATTTGGTCCTCTTTTTGGCGTTCAGGTACGGTATCGGGAATATTGGCGCTATCATTGGAGTACAGGGCACGAAATTTCGACACGTGGCAAGGGGGCGATCCAGATTCAAGGCGATATCGGTTTGGAGAGTGACCTATAGTTAAGAATAGGCTTAAGGGTAGGTTGGATAGTAATTTGGTTGGTTAATAAACAGACTTGAACTCTACTTCTTCTGCTCACGACGCACGTAATCCTCCCCTCTTCTCCAGGCAAGATTGATTTGGCTTCCCCGGCGGGTTAAGGCACGCGTGTTACAGGGACACAGAAGACCGATCTTGGATTGTTGGCCAAGATCGAGAAGAGCGATCCCGGGATATCTGGCCCGGATCGATCAAGTACTCACACTCAACTCAACTGCTAGGGTAGCAGCACACAACGGAAAAGGAAAAGGATTTTGGACACAGGATCGCGAGACGGCTCAAGTGGTCAGAAGATCTGGACAAGGCGTTCAAGACAAGACCGAGCAGGATCGAAGCGATCCCCTGGACAGATCGGCACGTTTCATTTTGGCGAAACAAGACACCGATCTACCCAAATTGCGCACTTCCGGCAAGATCGGCCGATCCCAAGACCAGATCGGACCGATCCCAAGGCAAGATTGACGCAAGACTTTTATTTGCTGAGTGAAGATTTCCGCACAGCAAAGACCCCGATCTCGAGGACAAATCAAGATCGGTGCGATCCAAGATCGGGATCGCAGAACCCCGTTCGTGGTGTGAAGATTTCCGCACCGGAAGCGAACCCTCAACCCAACCTCTCAGCGAGATCGACATCTCCCAAGGCCGTTACGAAGAGCTCAAGCCAGCCCAACCGACGGGTACACAAGGTGAGCACAAGGTCATACAACAAGGCACGGATCGGAGTACCCCCTCCGTGAGTCGGCAAGTCTGGGCAAGTGGAAGATCGACACTCATACAAGCAATTTTGTGAGATCAACTTCACCACAATGGTGCGCGTGCCCGGATCTTCTGAGGCCTCTGGATTTCATTGTGAGTCCACTGGCGAAGATGTCAAGATTAAGCAAGAACCTGGGATTGAAGTGTCAGCGACAAAGGGATCGACGCAGACACGCAGAAGCACAAGATCCTCAGATCATCAGAGTTTTGGGAGGGGCTCTGATGAAATGAAAATGAAAGAGGAAGATCGAGAGATTAATCTGGAAGATAAACCTCAATTCCCTCCTAGGGTCCCTTCGGGGGCCACCGCAGATCGCTCTGCAAAGAGCGATCTGCTGGATGAAAATCCAATGGTGAAAACCAAATCGGCGAAAGCCAAACCCTATATCTTAGTCGATAGATCGCCCGACCTCAAGCCGAAGAGCTCAATCGCGAGATCGACCACATCAGAACGATCCGCGACGAGATCGATGGGATTAGATGTCAAAGATCGCCAGATCGGCCGAACCGTGCAATCGAAGATCGGAGCCGAAGAGGAATACGATGAAACACCAGATAAGATCGCGATGCCAAAGACGGAATATAACCCAATAAAGATCGCGTCCATGGAGAAGGAGACGACGGGTGAAACGCGGGAGCGTGCAAAATGGCAGTACTATTATGGCCAGTTGAAGACGCTGCTCAAGACGGACCCAGTGTTCAAGATATTAAGGCCCAAGGTGATTGGTCCTCTGGATAAGCCGATCTCGGTCCCAATTCACGGGACCAACAAAGTCGACGAGATCAATGTGATTTTGCAGATGTTGGACGACATGGGTATCTGCCCTGACGCTTTTGATGGAGATGAACTGCTGAGTTGCAGCTTGGAACAGTTGAAGGACGCGGCGAATGAGTTTGTAGAGATCATGATAATGCTGGTGGGCAAAGCAAATACTCCTGAAGACAAGATCGGGACGCCCTCGGGCTCGCTCTGTAAACACCCCGCGGGATCGCCCGCTACGCCTCGGATGACTCCGAGAGCGAGTCAGATGGATCCATCAGCATTCGTCAGATGTCTCTAGGACCATCGGGTGGAAGGTTCTTAAAGGACAAGATCGGACAAGCCAAGATCGACGCCTATAAGGGACAAGCCAAGAGCAACATGCCGCAGAGATCGGCCAGTACCCGCACTGGGCTGGAGGATCAAGAAGAGGGCTATCTAAGTCGGTACTTCAATTCAGCCATGAAGAAGTACGAGGCGGATCAACGTACATCTCAGCGAATGAATCGACAGCCAAACCGCTACCCAGATCGACGTACTTTGCTCCAACCTTCACACGAAAGCCTTGACATGCCGGATGTGGAGATGGAGTCGGTGGGGTCGGACATTTACCAACATATCCATGAGGCGGCGGAATACGACCCGGATGATCTATGGATGCCCGAACCACGGCGCCCTCATGTAGCCGCGACCGGTGCGACTACCGGAGGGGGAAGCATCACGCAGAGGATCAGAATCTCAGCGATTTCTGAGCTTAAAGAATTCTCAGGGAAGGATCGGGAAGAAGACAAAGCACGAAACTGGATCGGCAAAGTGAAATCAGCGTTTATCCGGGACCAAGCACCGGACGAGGAGAGATGTCTGGTCTTCGGTGATCTCATGGTGGGCCCAGCCCGCTACTGGTACCGACAGCTGAGTAGATCGACGAGATTCAATTGGAAAGAATTGATGAACAGTTTTCTTGTGGAGTATGCGGGACACGGGATGTCCGCGAGCAGGCAGTACTACCACGCAAAGAAACGATCGGAGGAAGATCCTTTACAGTACCTGTATCGGCTTAATGTGATGGGAATGCAGGCGAAGATACCGGTGATGACTGGATTGCCAGCTGCGCGCAAGGAACATGTCAATCATTTCATTGACACCTTGGACGACCCCGATCTGTCCAATCAATTGCTACTGCTGAATGTAGAAGACGCGGAGGCCATGCAAAAGACACTGCACGGATATCAACAAGGGAGATCGCGTCAAGGGAAAGTGATGATGGGATCGTCCAAATTCAGGCAGAAGGGAACTCAGGGTCCAGCTCTGTCTAAGCCTGCACGAGCGGTAAGGATGGTCCGTACCGAGGACGTCTGCAGCGAGTCAGGATCGGACACCTGCGGATCGGATTTGGAAGATCGATTGAGATCGATCCATGTGGCTGCTACTGCGGATCGCCGTTCATCCCCCAATGACGTTGCAGCAAACGCGAGATCGGTCGACCCGAATACTCGTCAAGACTATCAAGATCGCAATATGCCATTGAAGCCGTGTACTCATTGCGGATCGACCAAGCATGGAAATCTCGGTTGCTGGAAGCGGCTCACTTGCCAGAAGTGTGGGCGTAAAGGACACCCCTCTGACAATTGTTTTTTCGTGTGTCGTGCTTGCGGTGAGATGCACGACCCGAGGAAGTGTCCCATGGAGGAGTTCTATAACATGATCCGTCAGTGGTACGTCCCGAATAAGCATGCGGGGATGCTACCAGAGAAGGCCGAGAAGATGTTAAACTAGGACGCTCGCCAGGTTTGAATCTGGTACGAGCCAAGCGTTCTGGGCTCTGCATGTTTGCATACGTGGAAAAAAAGAAGACAGATCGCGAGAGTAAGCAAGATATTGACGTGGAAACAAATATATCTCGTTCGAAGTTAAAACGTGTCGCTTTCGTGTCCCATCTGAAGCGGATCGATGAGTACTCACGATCTGAACCAGCTATGGAGATCGAGCTCGCTTATGGTGAATCTCGCGGATACTGGAAACATTATTCACCCGGGAAGTGGTTCAAACAAGCGAAAGCCGTTGGCAAGATCAACAACGTAAAAGCTACTCTGTTATTTGATTCTGGTGCTGAAGTGTCGATCATTGACACCACCTTTGCTCGTGAGGTCGGTTGCAATATTGACGAAAGTCAACGACAAGAATGTATCGGGATTGGAGAAACTCCGTACATGACGGTAGGACGTACCAAGATCAAGGTGACCCTCGCGGGATCGCTGGTATACTATTTCAATGTATGGGTAGGCGATCTGGCAGGGCAAGAAGCGATTCTGGGTATGGATTTTATGGTGCCTGCTGGAGTGCGGCTCGATCTAGCGGATGGCGCGCTATGTCTACCAGAAGAAATCCGCATTCATCTCGCAGGACGTCGCCCCGCGTACGGATCGAAGATACAACATATAACGGCGAAGGACCAACACGTGGTGATCCCGGTTGGAGAGTCAAGGGAAGTGAAGATCGGGATCGGAGGGGCTAAGATGAAGTTGTGGGTCGCTAGAGGACTAGATTGGGTCCCCACTGTGATCTCGGGGTGGGGGTAAGACGAAATACCTGCAGATGACCAACATTGGCGACCGTGAGATCATACTGCCCACCCACACTATATTAGGCATGTGGGTCGAAGGCGATATGGTACCGCGAACCCAAGGTTTGGTGACAGTCGGGTCGGGGAAGTACAAGGAATGGCAAACTCTGGCATATGAGGCTACGACGGATCGAGTGAACGAACTCCCGAAAGAACCGATCGGACCATTGGTAGATCGTCCTACGTATGCCGCTCCCAAACGCATCTTGAAACGTCCGTCTGATGCGTTACAGAACCTGTCTCCGGCGATCTCCACGGTAACGCCGCAAGCTAACGATGACGATTCGAAAAAGGCAGATGCTGTAGTTGCGAGGGAAGTAACGGTCAGGGGAGCCGAACTATCGCGGATGGAGAACGGTCATGAGATCGGTACCCAACATGCAACGAGGGAGACCGCGACACCGGGCAAGAAGGGCTACGTGACAGATCGTCTCTACCGAAGGCTGAGCCGACCGACCGACTGTTGAAATTGGTCCAGCCGGAAGAGACGAAGGAGCCTAAAGAAGAAATAATGCTAAATACTGAAGACGTCGAGATTGCAGAAATACCAGTTTATCACCACGAGAGCGGAGATTTGTTTGCGGAAGATATCGAGCAGCATATGGCCGTGCTACCAGAGATGTCGGCGACTACAGAAGAAGTTACGATTGAGGACATTCAGATCGGTGATCCCGATGTGCCTCTCACCACAGATCAACAACGGCTCAGATCGCTGATCTGGAAGAGCCGTCACCTCCTCATGGGTAAAGGTAATGCTCTACCACCAGCAGCACGAGGCGCGATCTGTGATATTGATGTCGGTGGGGCAGCACCGATAGTGCAAAGAGTGCGTCCGGTCGCACCCAAATATCGGGAGAAGCTGTCAGATCTCATCAAAGGACTATTAGCAGCCAAAATCGTTCAGCCATCCACGTCACCTTGGGCGTCTCCGATAGTGGTGATCATCAAGAAGAACGGAGTGGATATTCGCCTTTGCATTGATTATCGAAGAGCTAACCAGCTGACGCGTCTGATGGTTTATCCCATGCCGTTGATCAGCGATCTGTTGGAAGATCTGGATAAAGCTCTATGGTACTGTTCGCTAGACATGGCTAGTGGATTTTGGGTCGTCGAAATGACTGAACGAGCAAAACTGATCTCAGCGTTTGTCACACCGTTTGGCTTGTTCGAGTGGCTGCGAATGCCTTTTGGGCTTAAGAACGCGCCCCAGATCTACCAACGTCTGGTGGACAATGCGTTGTATGGATATCTCAAGATCGGCCAGAGATCAGCTTCTGATGGCCCGATCGACGTGTTCAAAGATGGAGAACCTGAGACAGATCGACGACCGTCTATACTGGGACGCCGATCTTACATTGACGATATTCTCATACCAGCCACGTCATGGGGATCTTTGTACACAAAAGTAGAACGGTTGCTGGAGGCATGTGATAAGTGGAATCTGTCTATCAGCCTCACGAAGAGCTTTTGGGGGTGCCGTAAGGTCGATTATTTGGGACATCGAGTGTCGATGGATGGTCTGGAGGCTCAGCCCAAGAACCTAGAGTCGTTGGTTAACATCCCGTTTCCTAGCACGCTACGAGCTATGCAATCCTTTCTCGGGAGCTTGAACTACTACCGTCGCTTCATTGAGGATTTCGCGGTGTATGCCGCGGTGTTGTATGAGTTAAGAGAATCGGATTTCTTCGAGATCGGCCGATCTCAGCTTGCAGCAGGAGACGAATGCTCCAACGAGGGTCGATGGACGGAAGCCAAGGTTGCTTTCACTATGCTAAAAGCTAAGATAGCTACAGCTCCCATGCTCAAGCATTTCGACCCAGATCGGTCCCCCGTAATCGTGGTCTACGCTAGCAAGTGGGCTGTCTCAGCGGCCCTGATACAGGAGTACGATGGCGTGTACCATCCGGTGACGTTTACTAGCCGCACTTTAAAGCCTAATGAGCTTAACTACGGAATGGTAGAAAAAGAAGTGCTGGCGCTACTTCGTGTGTTGGATGTATGCTATACTACGCTTGCCTCGCGGGAGATCACTGTACTGACCCGACATTCTACGTTAGCCTGGTTGATGCAGTCTCGAGGGCTCAATGGGAGATTAGGACGGTGGGCTGCTTTGTTGTCAAATTGGACTATGGAGGTGAAGAAATGTGAAAGAGGAGAGGAAGAGATCCTGGGCATGTTAGCAGCGAGTATCACTCCGAGAGGAGAAGTGGAAGAGATGCTGATTGCGATCTCCCCACGAAAAGACTGTCGACTCAAAATATCGATGTCTCCTCCAACGGTGGAAACAGATGAGGAGTTGCTGGTGGCCAGTTTCGATGGATCGGCTAGGATAAAAAAGAAAGGAGGGTCGTTCAGTGCCGTGATATGGAAGTTACCCGAATGGACGATCGTGGCGGCCGAATCGAGATATGTTCACGATCTGACTGTGAATGAAGCTGAGTATAATGGCTTGCTACTGTGCTTTGAGTTACTCGCCGATCTGGATAGGGGGCGAGTAATACTGTGTGGAGATTCCAGTCTGGTGATTCGACAGATGCGCGGTGAGATCGACTGCAAGGCACCGGGCCTTCAGCTTCTGAGACACAAAGCGTTGGAGAAGCTGCAGTCATGGCCTAGTCACGAGTTTCTGCATATGAAGCGAGAGTGGAATCAGAGCGCAGATCGACTAGCCAGCACAGCATTGCAGAGCGAAAAGGGAAGAACGGTTGTAGCTGAAGAGGATCGGCAAGATCTGATGACTCTGAACCGTCTCGGTGAATTGTTGAAGCCCAAGCAAGATGGTCAGCTAGCTCGGGTAACTGCGATCTCGAGATCAGCCAGGAGGATACGTCATGAACCTGAAGTGATACAGGAGGAGATAGTACAGAGGATCAGGATTCAACGAATTGTCCAAGCTCAAGATGAAGAGCGTTGGATTGTCAATCTCAAGACATATCTAAGTGGCGATGTATTAAACTTGGATGCAGTAGAAGTGAAGATGTGCGCCAAACTGGCGCCGGAATACGAGATCGATGAGAACAATCTGCTATTTTTTTGCCCCATGGCGAAAAGAGAGTCGGAAGATCGCGATGGTTTGATGCGGTTGGTGATCCCGGAGACGTTGCAGCAGGATTTTTGCATCACTATCACACGAGTCTGGAAGGAGGCCATCAGGGTATTGGCCGAACCTATCAGAGGATCAGATAGCGATTTCATTGGAGAGGACTGTTTCGGAGCGTTTAACGATATGTGGGCGAATGTACCGACTGTGAGACCGGGAAAGGAAACCCGATGATTCATGGGAAATCCCCGGGCAATCTACACGCAACCTATCCATTCCAGATCATCGCCATGGATCATATACCGTCGTTGCCCAAGTCCATCAAGGGGAACACCGAACTGCTCATTTGGGTCGACCTTTTCTCGGGATATGTGGTTGCAAAGGCTAGCTCCTCTCGGACGGCACAAACAATAGCGGAGAATTACGAAGAATGTGTGTTTCGACGCTTCGGAGCTAGCGAGGCTATCAGGCACGATAGAGAACCGGAATTTATGTCCGACTTCTTTCGAGCCTTCAGTCGGATCGTAGGACAAAAACAGCGTGCTACTATGGCTTACAGGCCACAAGCAAATGGAACAGCCGAACGAATGGTGCAAACCCTGACACATTCGCTCAAGATGTACGTGGCTGAAGTTGACCAGCGAGACTGGGATGAGTATGCTGAGCGGCTCACATTTGCCATTAACACTGCACAAGATCGGATCCGGGGGATACCCCGTTTTATCTGATTCATGGGTGGGACCCGCGATCGACTTTGGAGGCTACGCTACCAGTGGGGAATACGGGGACACGAGATCGCGATCCAAAGAGGTGGAGATACAAAATCCAAAGACAATACCAGCGAGCCCGATCTGCAGTGAACGATCGTTTACAAGCCGCGATCCAGGAGCGAGCAGATCGACACAACGAAGATCTGGAACCACACGAGATCGAAGTAGGAGCGCAAGTTTGGCTATACCTGGACCGAGTTAAAGAGGGATATGCGAAGAAGCTAGCGCACATGTGGCATGGGCCATTCCGAGTTGCGGACGTATGTGGAGATCATGCTGTAAAATTGGAGATCGCTGGAACCCCATATCGGTTATTTCCGATTGTACATATATCGAAGCTAAAAAAGGTAAAGACGTTCCCTGAACGCCCGAAGGATCAGCTTACGATAGAGGAATCAGATCGCTTGGATTTCGATGAAGCTCTGCTGCCAGAAGACAGTTGGGATGGCGATCTTGAAGAAGGGGAATACGAAGTAGAGGCAATATTGGACGTGCGATCTGGTAGAAAAACCCGTTATGGGCGAGTACACCGGCAGTTTCTGGTGAAGTGGAAAGGATATCCCGATCTAAGTTGGGTGGACGAGGCCGATCTAAGTTGTGGGGCGATCTTGCAAGAGTTTGAGCGGAACCGAGTGAGTCGAAACCGTTTCGACGTAATGCAGTCTCATGAAGGCAAGTCGGACGAACCTTAACAGTTCGAACAAGTATGCGGGAGGTAGCATATGCGGATGTAGGGGTTGAAAGATGTGCTAGACGGTAGCACATGCTGGTGGATGAGGTTTTTGTATGTGAGTATGGAGATAGTCAAGTGAATTACCTTCCTGAATGATGTGGAGCGATGAGGATCGAGATCGTGGAAGCTGCAAAGAATTGAAGTACCAAAAAGAAGACGATTGAATGACTTACACGATCATGAAAGACGATCGGGCTTGGATATCGACCTTGGACTAAGACGATGGAGCAGGTTTGAACTTGTCCTGCAGACGAGGGATCTGCGATCCGGGATGATCTAGATGGCGCGGAGACCCAGGCCGATCGGGGACCGCTGGGGTGTGTCCTCCGAGATCGGGCGATCCGGGCGACAGGTCGCGATCCGGAGACAGAAACATGGTGGATCCTTCTGAAGAGATCGGCGAGGTGGGTGGATGCGTCGGAGAGACCATGAGACGGACTTGAGTGCTTGGAACGAAGTTGATGAGTGACTGTACTGAGGTCGATTGCTGTACAAAAGACTTCAGTACAGGGGGCGGTTGTGGCAAAGTCACTACTCAAATTTTGTACGAGGATCGGTTTCCACCCAGTTAAGATGTCACCCACTGGCGGAAGAGGTACGCCTAGGACCAGGCGATGCAACGTGATTTGAGGACGGGGGTAGAAAGGGGTGATTCCAACGGTGCGATCTGGGACGAGGACTGGATTGAACCGAACGACCACTCTAAAGGCTGATCAAAGGAAAGGATGTGGATGTTGAAGCAGAATCATTTGAGAAAGTACGCCTGGGATCAGGCGATGCGACGTGGTTTGAGACGGGGCGTAGCAAGGGGTGATTTCCACGGTGCGATCTGGGACGAGGGACTGGATTGAACCGAACGACCACTCTGAAGGCTGATCAGAGGCAAGGATGTGGATGTTGAAGCAGAATCATTTTGAAAAAGCATCGGAGTGCACACAATGAACGGAAGAACATATATGACCGGATTGTACTGTGTCGATCCTCAACAATCTCGAATTGGGCATCAGATCGGTCATGATCCCCACTGATTATGGATGTATCGTTGATGAGAATTTTGGATCATGACAAACATGCTTGTTGAAGGTCCATGAGTGATGTCTCAAAAGTTCAGATCAAAAGAGCCAGTGGAAGCCGGTTAAATTGACGTCGCAAAATGGATTTAGACGCCTTCGGCATTTGGGCACTATTTTGGGCTTTTGGGTACCAAAAATGGGTATTTGGTACCCCATTTGGGATTTGGTCCTCTTTTGGCGTTCAGGTACGGTATCGGGAATATTGGCGCTATCATTGGAGTACAGGGCACGAAATTTCGACACGTGGCAAGGGGGCGATCCAGATTCAAGGCGATATCGGTTTGGAGAGTGACCTATAGTTAAGAATAGGCTTAAGGGTAGGTTGGATAGTAATTTGGTTGGTTAATAAACAGACTTGAACTCTACTTCTTCTGCTCACGACGCACGTAATCCTCCCCTCTTCTCCAGGCAAGATTGATTTGGCTTCCCCGGCGGGTTAAGGCACGCGTGTTACAGGGACACAGAAGACCGATCTTGGATTGTTGGCCAAGATCGAGAAGAGCGATCCCGGGATATCTGGCCCGGATCGATCAAGTACTCACACTCAACTCAACTGCTAGGGTAGCAGCACACAACGGAAAAGGAAAAGGATTTTGGACACAGGATCGCGAGACGGCTCAAGTGGTCAGAAGATCTGGACAAGGCGTTCAAGACAAGACCGAGCAGGATCGAAGCGATCCCCTGGACAGATCGACACGTTTCATTTTGGCGAAACAAGACACCGATCTACCCAAATTGCGCACTTCCGGCAAGATCGGCCGATCCCAAGACCAGATCGGACCGATCCCAAGGCAATATTGACGCAAGACTTTTATTTGCTGAGTGAAGATTTCCGCACAGCAAAGACCCCGATCTCGAGGACAAATCAAGATCGGTGCGATCCAAGATCGGGATCGCAGAACCCCGTTCGTGGTGTGAAGATTTCCGCACCGGAAGCGAACCCTCAACCCAACCTCTCAGCGAGATCGACATCTCCCAAGGCCGTTACGAAGAGCTCAAGCCAGCCCAACCGACGGGTACACAAGGTGAGCACAAGGTCATACAACAAGGCACGGATCGGAGTACCCCCTCCGTGAGTCGGCAAGTCTGGGCAAGTGGAAGATCGACACTCATACAAGCAATTTTGTGAGATCAACTTCACCACAATGGTGCGCGTGCCCGGATCTTCTGAGGCCTCTGGATTTCATTGTGAGTCCACTGGCGAAGATGTCAAGATTAAGCAAGAACCTGGGATTGAAGTGTCAGCGACAAAGGGATCGACGCAGACACGCAGAAGCACAAGATCCTCAGATCATCAGAGTTTTGGGAGGGGCTCTGATGAAATGAAAATGAAAGAGGAAGATCGAGAGATCAATCTGGAAGATAAACCTCAATTCCCTCCTAGGGTCCCTTCGGGGGCCACCGCAGATCGCTCTGCAAAGAGCGATCTGCTGGATGAAAATCCAATGGTGAAAACCAAATCGGCGAAAGCCAAACCCTATATCTTAGTCGATAGATCGCCCGACCTCAAGCCGAAGAGCTCAATCGAGAGATCGACCACATCAGAACGATCCGCGACGAGATCGATGGGATTAGATGTCAAAGATCGCCAGATCGGCCGAACCGTGCAATCGAAGATCGGAGCCGAAGAGGAATACGATGAAACACCAGATAAGATCGCGATGCCAAAGACGGAATATAACCCAATAAAGATCGCGTCCATGGAGAAGGAGACGACGGGTGAAACGCGGGAGCGTGCAAAATGGCAGTACTATTATGGCCAGTTGAAGACGCTGCTCAAGACGGACCCAGTGTTCAAGATATTAAGGCCCAAGGTGATTGGTCCTCTGGATAAGCCGATCTCGGTCCCAATTCACGGGACAACAAAGTCGACGAGATCAATGTGATTTTGCAGATGTTGGACGACATGGGTATCTGCCCTGACGCTTTTGATGGAGATGAACTGCTGAGTTGCAGCTTGGAACAGTTGAAGGACGCGGCGAATGAGTTTGTAGAGATCATGATAATGCTGGTGGGCAAAGCAAATACTCCTGAAGACAAGATCGGGACGCCCTCGGGCTCGCTCTGTAAACACCCCGCGGGATCGCCCCGCTACGCCTCGGATGACTCCGAGAGCGAGTCAGATGGATCCATCAGCATTCGTCAGATGTCTCTAGGACCATCGGGTGGAAGGTTCTTAAAGGACAAGATCGGACAAGCCAAGATCGACGCCTATAAGGGACAAGCCAAGAGCAACATGCCGCAGAGATCGGCCAGTACCCGCACTGGGCTGGAGGATCAAGAAGAGGGCTATCTAAGTCGGTACTTCAATTCAGCCATGAAGAAGTACGAGGCGGATCAACGTACATCTCAGCGAATGAATCGACAGCCAAACCGCTACCCAGATCGACGTACTTTGCTCCAACCTTCACACGAAAGCCTTGACATGCCGGATGTGGAGATGGAGTCGGTGGGGTCGGACATTTACCAACATATCCATGAGGCGGCGGAATACGACCCGGATGATCTATGGATGCCCGAACCACGGCGCCCTCATGTAGCCGCGACCGGTGCGACTACCGGAGGGGGAAGCATCACGCAGAGGATCAGAATATCAGCGATTTCTGAGCTTAAAGAATTCTCAGGGAAGGATCGGGAAGAAGACAAAGCACGAAACTGGATCGGCAAAGTGAAATCAGCGTTTATCCGGGACCAAGCACCGGACGAGGAGAGATGTCTGGTCTTCGGTGATCTCATGATGGGCCCAGCCCGCTACTGGTACCGACAGCTGAGTAGATCGACGAGATTCAATTGGAAAGAATTGATGAACAGTTTTTCTGTGGAGTATGCGGGACACGGGATGTCCGCGAGCAGGCAGTACTACCACGCAAAGAAACGATCGGAGGAAGATCCTTTACAGTACCTGTATCGGCTTAATGTGATGGGAATGCAGGCGAAGATACCGGTGATGACTGGATTGCCAGCTGCGCGCAAGGAACATGTCAATCATTTCATTGACACCTTGGACGACCCCGATCTGTCCAATCAATTGCTACTGCTGAATGTAGAAGACGCGGAGGCCATGCAAAAGACACTGCACGGATATCAACAAGGGAGATCGCGTCAAGGGAAAGTGATGATGGGATCGTCCAAATTCAGGCAGAAGGGAACTCAGGGTCCAGCTCTGTCTAAGCCTGCACGAGCGGTAAGGATGGTCCGTACCGAGGACGTCTGCAGCGAGTCAGGATCGGACACCTGCGGATCGGATTTGGAAGATCGATTGAAATCGATCCATGTGGCTGCTACTGCGGATCGCCGTTCATCCCCCAATGACGTTGCAGCAAACGCGAGATCGGTCGACCCGAACACTCGTCAAGACTATCAAGATCGCAATATGCCATTGAAGCCGTGTACTCATTGCGGATCGACCAAGCATGGAAATCTCGGTTGCTGGAAGCGGCTCACTTGCCAGAAGTGTGGGCGTAAAGGACACCCCTCTGACAATTGTTTTTTCGTGTGTCGTGCTTGCGGTGAGATGCACGACCCGGAGAAATGTCCCATGGAGGAGTTCTATAACATGATCCGTCAGTGGTACGTCCCGAATAAGCATGCGGGGATGCTACCAGAGAAGGCAGAGAAGATGTTAAACTAGGACGCTCGCCAGGTTTGAATCTGGTACGAGCCGAGCGTTCTGGGCTCTGCATATTTGCATACGTGGAAAAAAAAGAAGACAGATCGCGAGAGTAAGCAAGATATTGACGTGGAAACAAATATATCTCGTTCGAAGTTAAAACGTGTCGCTTCCGTGTCCCATCTGAAGCGGATCGATGAGTACTCACGATCTGAACCAGCTATGGAGATCGAGCTCGCTTATGGTGAATCTCGCGGATACTGGAAACATTATTCACCCGGGAAGTGGTTCAAACAAGCGAAAGCCGTTGGCAAGATCAACAACGTAAAAGCTACTCTGTTATTTGATTCTGGTGCTGAAGTGTCGATCATTGACACCACCTTTGCTCGTGAGGTCGGTTGCAATATTGACGAAAGTCAACGACAAGAATGTATCGGGATTGGAGAAACTCCGTACATGACGGTAGGACGTACCAAGATCAAGGTGACCCTCGCGGGATCGCTGGTATACTATTTCAATGTATGGGTAGGCGATCTGGCAGGGCAAGAAGCGATTCTGGGTATGGATTTTATGGTGCCTGCTGGAGTGCGGCTCGATCTAGCGGATGGCGCGCTATGTCTACCAGAAGAAATCCGCATTCATCTCGCAGGACGTCGCCCCGCGTACGGATCGAAGATACAACATATAACGGCGAAGGATCAACACGTGGTGATCCCGGTTGGAGAGTCAAGGGAAGTGAAGATCGGGATCGGAGGGGCTAAGATGAAGTTGTGGGTCGCTAGAGGACTAGATTGGGTCCCCACTGTGATCTCGGGGTGGGGTAAGACGAAATACCTGCAGATGACCAACATTGGCGACCGTGAGATCATACTGCCCACCCACACTATATTAGGCATGTGGGTCGAAGGCGATATGGTACCGCGAACCCAAGGTTTGGTGACAGTCGGGTCGGGGAAGTACAAGGAATGGCAAACTCTGGCATATGAGGCTACGACGGATCGAGTGAACGAACTCCCGAAAGAACCGATCGGACCATTGGTAGATCGTCCTACGTATGCCGCTCCCAAACGCATCTTGAAACGTCCGTCTGATGCGTTACAGAACCTGTCTCCGGCGATCTCCACGGTAACGCCGCAAGCTAACGATGACGATTCGCAAAAGGCAGATGCTGTAGTTGCGAGGGAAGTAACGGTCAGGGGAGCCGAACTATCGCGGATGAAGAACGGTCATGAGATCGGTACCCAACATGCAACGAAGGGAGACCGCGACACCGGGCAAGAAGGGCTACGTGACAGATCGTCTCTACCGAAGGCTGAGCCGACCGACCGACTGTTGAAATTGGGCCAGCCGGAAGAGACGAAGGAGCCTAAAGAAGAAATAATGCTAAATACTGAAGACGTCGAGATTGCAGAAATACCAGTTTATCACCACGAGAGCGGAGATTTGTTTGCGGAAGATATCGAGCAGCATATGGCCGTGCTACCAGAGATGTCGGCGACTACGGAAGAAGTTAAGATTGAGGACATTCAGATCGGTGATCCCGATGTGCCTCTCACCACAGATCAACAACGGCTCAGATCGCTGATCTGGAAGAGCCGTCACCTCCTCATGGGTAAAGGTAATGCTCTACCACCAGCAGCACGAGGCGCGATCTGTGATATTGATGTCGGTGGGGCAGCACCGATAGTGCAAAGAGTGCGTCCGGTCGCACCCAAATATCGGGAGAAGCTGTCAGATCTCATCAAAGGACTATTAGCAGCCAAAATCGTTCAGCCATCTACGTCACCTTGGGCGTCTCCGATAGTGGTGATCATCAAGAAGAACGGAGTGGATATTCGCCTTTGCATTGATTATCGAAGAGCTAACCAGCTGACGCGTCTGATGGTTTATCCCATGCCGTTGATCAGCGATCTGTTGGAAGATCTGGATAAAGCTCTATGGTACTGTTCGCTAGACATGGCTAGTGGATTTTGGGTCGTCGAAATGACTGAACGAGCAAAACTGATCTCAGCGTTTGTCACACCGTTTGGCTTGTTCGAGTGGCTGCGAATGCCTTTTGGGCTTAAGAACGCGCCCCAGATCTACCAACGTCTGGTGGACAATGCGTTGTATGGATATCTCAAGATCGGCCAGAGATCAGCTTCTGATGGCCCGATCGACGTGTTCAAAGATGGAGAACCTGAGACAGATCGACGACCGTCTATACTGGGACGCCGATCTTACATTGACGATATTCTCATACCAGCCACGTCATGGGGATCTTTGTACACAAAAGTAGAACGGTTGCTGGAGGCATGTGATAAGTGGAATCTGTCTATCAGCCTCACGAAGAGCTTTTGGGGGTGCCGTAAGGTCGATTATTTGGGACATCGAGTGTCGATGGATGGTCTGGAGGCTCAGCCCAAGAACCTAGAGTCGTTGGTTAACATCCCGTTTCCTAGCACGCTACGAGCTATGCAATCCTTTCTCGGGAGCTTGAACTACTACCGTCGCTTCATTGAGGATTTCGCGGTGTATGCCGCGGTGTTGTATGAGTTAAGAGAATCGGATTTCTTCGAGATCGGCCGATCTCAGCTTGCAGCAGGAGACGAATGCTCCAACGAGGGTCGATGGACGGAAGCCAAGGTTGCTTTCACTATGCTAAAAGCTAAGATAGCTACAGCTCCCATGCTCAAGCATTTCGACTCAGATCGGTCCCCCGTAATCGTGGTCTACGCTAGCAAGTGGGCTGTCTCAGCGGCCCTGATACAGGAGTACGATGGCGTGTACCATCCGGTGACGTTTACTAGCCGCACTTTAAAGCCTAATGAGCTTAACTACGGAATGGTAGAAAAAGAAGTGCTGGCGCTACTTCGTGTGTTGGATGTATGCTATACTACGCTTGCCTCGCGGGAGATCACTGTACTGACCCGACATTCTACGTTAGCCTGGTTGATGCAGTCTCGAGGGCTCAATGGGAGATTAGGACGGTGGGCTGCTTTGTTGTCAAATTGGACTATGGAGGTGAAGAAATGTGAAAGAGGAGAGGAAGAGATCCTGGGCATGTTAGCAGCGAGTATCACTCCGAGAGGAGAAGTGGAAGAGATGCTGATTGCGATCTCCCCACGAAAAGACTGTCGACTCAAAATATCGATGTCTTCTCCAACGGTGGAAACAGATGAGGAGTTGCTGGTGGCCAGTTTCGATGGATCGGCTAGGATAAAAAAGAAAGGAGGGTCGTTCAGTGCCGTGATATGGAAGTTACCCGAATGGACGATCGTGGCGGCCGAATCGAGATATGTTCACGATCTGACTGTGAATGAAGCTGAGTATAATGGCTTGCTACTGTGCTTTGAGTTACTCGCCGATCTGGATAGGGGGCGAGTAATACTGTGTGGAGATTCCAGTCTGGTGATTCGACAGATGCGCGGTGAGATCGACTGCAAGGCACCGGGCCTTCAGCTTCTGAGACACAAAGCGTTGGAGAAGCTGCAGTCATGGCCTAGTCACGAGTTTCTGCATATGAAGCGAGAGTGGAATCAGAGCGCAGATCGACTAGCCAGCACAGCATTGCAGAGCGAAAAGGGAAGAACGGTTGTAGCTGAAGAGGATCGGCAAGATCTGATGACTCTGAACCGTCTCGGTGAATTGTTGAAGCCCAAGCAAGATGGTCAGCTAGCTCGGGTAACTGCGATCTCGAGATCAGCCAGGAGGATACGTCATGAACCTGAAGTGATACAGGAGGAGATAGTACAGAGGATCAGGATTCAACGAATTGTCCAAGCTCAAGATGAAGAGCGTTGGATTGTCAATCTCAAGACATATCTAAGTGGCGATGTATTAAACTTGGATGCAGTAGAAGTGAAGATGTGCGCCAAACTGGCGCCGGAATACGAGATCGATGAGAACAATCTGCTATTTTTTTGCCCCATGGCGAAAAGAGAGTCGGAAGATCGCGATGGTTTGATGCGGTTGGTGATCCCGGAGACGTTGCAGCAGGATTTTTTGCATCACTATCACACGAGTCTGGAAGGAGGCCATCAGGGTATTGGCCGAACCTATCAGAGGATCAGATAGCGATTTCATTGGAGAGGACTGTTTCGGAGCGTTTAACGATATGTGGGCGAATGTACCGACTGTGAGACCGGGAAAGGAAACCCGATGATTCATGGGAAATCCCCGGGCAATCTACACGCAACCTATCCATTCCAGATCATCGCCATGGATCATATACCGTCGTTGCCCAAGTCCATCAAGGGGAACACCGAACTGCTCATTTGGGTCGACCTTTTCTCGGGATATGTGGTTGCAAAGGCTAGCTCCTCTCGGACGGCACAAACAATAGCGGAGAATTACGAAGAATGTGTGTTTCGACGCTTCGGAGCTAGCGAGGCTATCAGGCACGATAGAGAACCGGAATTTATGTCCGACTTCTTTCGAGCCTTCAGTCGGATCGTAGGACAAAAACAGCGTGCTACTATGGCTTACAGGCCACAAGCAAATGGAACAGCCGAACGAATGGTGCAAACCCTGACACATTCGCTCAAGATGTACGTGGCTGAAGTTGACCAGCGAGACTGGGATGAGTATGCTGAGCGGCTCACATTTGCCATTAACACTGCACAAGATCGGATCCGGGGGGATACCCCGTTTTATCTGATTCATGGGTGGGACCCGCGATCGACTTTGGAGGCTACGCTACCAGTGGGGAATACGGGGACACGAGATCGCGATCCAAAGAGGTGGAGATACAAAATCCAAAGACAATACCAGCGAGCCCGATCTGCAGTGAACGATCGTTTACAAGCCGCGATCCAGGAGCGAGCAGATCGACACAACGAAGATCTGGAACCACACGAGATCGAAGTAGGAGCGCAAGTTTGGCTATACCTGGACCGAGTTAAAGAGGGATATGCGAAGAAGCTAGCGCACATGTGGCATGGGCCATTCCGAGTTGCGGACGTATGTGGAGATCATGCTGTAAAATTGGAGATCGCTGGAACCCCATATCGGTTATTTCCGATTGTACATATATCGAAGCTAAAAAGGTAAAGACGTTCCCTGAACGCCCGAAGGATCAGCTTACGATAGAGGAATCAGATCGCTTGGATTTCGATGAAGCTCTGCTGCCAGAAGACAGTTGGGATGGCGATCTTGAAGAAGGGGAATACGAAGTAGAGGCAATATTGGACGTGCGATCTGGTAGAAAAACCCGTTATGGGCGAGTACACCGGCAGTTTCTGGTGAAGTGGAAAGGATATCCCGATCTAAGTTGGGTGGACGAGGCCGATCTAAGTTGTGGGGCGATCTTGCAAGAGTTTGAGCGGAACCGAGTGAGTCGAAACCGTTTCGACGTAATGCAGTCTCATGAAGGCAAGTCGGACGAACCTTAACAGTTCGAACAAGTATGCGGGAGGTAGCATATGCGGATGTAGGGGTTGAAAGATGTGCTAGACGGTAGCACATGCTGGTGGATGAGGTTTTTGTATGTGAGTATGGAGATAGTCAAGTGAATTACCTTCCTGAATGATGTGGAGCGATGAGGATCGAGATCGTGGAAGCTGCAAAGAATTGAAGTACCAAAAAGAAGACGATTGAATGACTTACACGATCATGAAAGACGATCGGGCTTGGATATCGACCTTGGACTAAGACGATGGAGCAGGTTTGAACTTGTCCTGCAGACGAGGGATCTGCGATCCGGGATGATCTAGATGGCGCGGAGACCCAGGCCGATCGGGGACCGCTGGGTGTGTCCTCCGAGATCGGGCGATCCGGGCGACAGGTCGCGATCCGGAGACAGAAACATGGTGGATCCTTCTGAAGAGATCGGCGAGGTGGGTGGATGCGTCGGAGAGACCATGAGACGGACTTGAGTGCTTGGAACGAAGTTGATGAGTGACTGTACTGAGGTCGATTGCTGTACAAAAGACTTCAGTACAGGGGGCGGTTGTGGCAAAGTCACTACTCAAATTTTGTACGAGGATCGGTTTCCACCCAGTTAAGATGTCACCCACTGGCGGAAGAGGTACGCCTAGGACCAGGCGATGCAACGTGATTTGAGACGGGGCGTAGAAAGGGGTGATTCCAACGGTGCGATCTGGGACGAGGGACTGGATTGAACCGAACGACCACTCTAAAGGCTGATCAAAGGAAAGGATGTGGATGTTGAAGCAGAATCATTTGAGAAAGTACGCCTGGGACCAGGCGATGCGACGTGGTTTGAGACGGGGCGTAGCAAGGGGTGATTTCCACGGTGCGATCTGGGACGAGGGACTGGATTGAACCGAACGACCACTCTGAAGGCTGATCAGAGGCAAGGATGTGGATGTTGAAGCAGAATCATTTTGAAAAAGCATCGGAGTGCACACAATGAACGGAAGAACATATATGACCGGATTGTACTGTGTCGATCCTCAACAATCTCGAATTGGGCATCAGATCGGTCATGATCCCCACTGATTATGGATGTATCGTTGATGAGAATTTTGGATCATGACAAACATGCTTGTTGAAGGTCCATGAGTGATGTCTCAAAAGTTCAGATCAAAAGAGCCAGTGGAAGCCGGTTAAATTGACGTCGCAAAATGGATTTAGACGCCTTCGGCATTTGGGCACTATTTTGGGCTTTTGGGTACCAAAAATGGGTATTTGGTACCCCATTTGGGATTTGGTCCTCTTTTGGCGTTCAGGTACGGTATCGGGAATATTGGCGCTATCATTGGAGTACAGGGCACGAAATTTCGACACGTGGCAAGGGGGCGATCCAGATTCAAGGCGATATCGGTTTGGAGAGTGACCTATAGTTAAGAATAGGCTTAAGGGTAGGTTGGATAGTAATTTGGTTGGTTAATAAACAGACTTGAACTCTACTTCTTCTGCTCACGACGCACGTAATCCTCCCCTCTTCTCCAGGCAAGATTGATTTGGCTTCCCCGGCGGGTTAAGGCACGCGTGTTACAGGGACACAGAAGACCGATCTTGGATTGTTGGCCAAGATCGAGAAGAGCGATCCCGGGATATCTGGCCCGGATCGATCAAGTACTCACACTCAACTCAACTGCTAGGGTAGCAGCACACAACGGAAAAGGAAAAGGATTTTGGACACAGGATCGCGAGACGGCTCAAGTGGTCAGAAGATCTGGACAAGGCGTTCAAGACAAGACCGAGCAGGATCGAAGCGATCCCCTGGACAGATCGACACGTTTCATTTTGGCGAAACAAGACACCGATCTACCCAAATTGCGCACTTCCGGCAAGATCGGCCGATCCCAAGACCAGATCGGACCGATCCCAAGGCAATATTGACGCAAGACTTTTATTTGCTGAGTGAAGATTTCCGCACAGCAAAGACCCCGATCTCGAGGACAAATCAAGATCGGTGCGATCCAAGATCGGGATCGCAGAACCCCGTTCGTGGTGTGAAGATTTCCGCACCGGAAGCGAACCCTCAACCCAACCTCTCAGCGAGATCGACATCTCCCAAGGCCGTTACGAAGAGCTCAAGCCAGCCCAACCGACGGGTACACAAGGTGAGCACAAGGTCATACAACAAGGCACGGATCGGAGTACCCCCTCCGTGAGTCGGCAAGTCTGGGCAAGTGGAAGATCGACACTCATACAAGCAATTTTGTGAGATCGACTTCACCACATCAACACCGCGGATTGATTCATCAGGGATATCATCTGTGCGAAGGCTCATCAACTTGCTCAACTGCTTAGTACTCTTGACGACGCCATCACTTTATCGCACGGATGGCATCATAAATTTCAGCAAATTTCACAAGCTCCGCGCTGTCAACATAAACGGTGAAAGCGGCTCGGTGGACGTGGACGACATGAATAAAGCTCTTACTGATGCAAAGAAGTTGTCATATAGTACGCGCTGCGTGATATTTACAACATAGATGAAACCAGTAAATTTAGTATGTTAGATTTCTAATTGAAACCAATCTAACAAAATTAACTTGCAGGATTACACTACAGCATGACACCTAACAGGCCTATTGCACAGCAAGAAATTTAAGGACACATAAAAGCCAAGGTAAGTATATCGCAGAATGCTGTTTGCCATATACTAACACAGGGGTATGCACTGACATCCTATGCAGTCGCGGATCACAATTTGCGCTCAATGCAAGTGCTGATGTCGCTGACAAGCTGCGGTCTTTTTTATCGGGAAGGCCAAGAAGCCCCGCTACTTTGACAAGACATCTGGTCAAAAACAAGGATTACTCTATCGCAAAAACACAAAGGCTTGGATGAAGGGCGTGCTCTTCCAGGAATGCTTGAAAATCTGGACAAAACCATAAATGTGTGTGTAGTCATAAGAATAGAAAACTTTTTATTCTTGTAGCGGAGCGACACAGCCCTTAAGTCGGAGGAAGACTTAACGCTCTACGAGCAACTTAGCTCTAAAGAACTAACGGCTTTTACGAGTCAACAAGCTTTACAGCTTCAGATCCCTGTTCTAGGGGACCTAAAGATTTAGTGGATCGACAGCATTCAGTGCTCAAGAGTAGCTACCTCAAGGAGGTGTCGCTAGCTCTTAGTGATCAGTGATCAACGATCAAGACGGCTTGCAAGCCATGTGTCCTTTAGATCAAAATGGGAACTGATTTTTTTTTGTTAAAGTCTATAGAAAATCTTAATCCTACTCAAAGATCTTTCGTACCTAATGGGTGACACTCGTCAGCTCCTACAAACCAATAAGATATTCTATATAACCTTCACAAAGGGGTAACCTCAGGTGTGTAACACCCCTGGTACAAAATACCATCATTTCGTGCAACCCCGTTACACCCTCCCCCACCAGACTGACGCTTGCCAAAACGTCAATCAAACTTGTGTTCTCAGCGAGAACAGTGCGCGCGCGGTGAACCTCACGGTAACGTACGCACTAGCACGATGTCCTCACCACCAAACGAGTCAAAGGCTCCATGTGACTACCTTGGACTAGAGGAGGAAGTGGACTATGGTAGCGATACCAGTGTCCACGTCGATACAGGGACAATTTCCGACTCACTGATGCCTGAGGCAAAGCCTTCGAACGCCCCAAATCCGTTCTCTGAACGTGGAGATGCGAGCGCGCCACTAGCGCAACATTCAACATCTGGCTCTGATGAAACTATCATCACGAACCCGCTCGATGAGCTAGAACAATTGCTTGTCCAACAAGAAGAAAACACTCAGCGTCATGAACAAATGGTTGCAACCCTTTGAACGCCAGCGTGACTATGTGTTCACTATACCCAGTGTGAGGAACGTCTGCGTCATGCGGCCGGCCAAATATTGGCAACGTGGGTCATTGGCCATGGGCCTAAGACTCCTGAGGAAGTGGTGAGCTGCCAGGCACTTCGTAAGAGGTACCTGAAGCCGCACCTAACGACTCAAAGTCAATACAAGGCACGCCTTGACATGCAAGTACGTGGTGCACCGGTTCTACCTATCAAGGGTATACCCATTCTCTTGTTCGCAGGTGAAACAGTGAGCGACGACGACGATGCCTTCGTTCACTAAGTGCATCATTGGCGTCGCCTCAGCAACATGTTTGCTCTAAGGGCTAGTTCCCATGTGGCTGATTTGCGTCTCGAACGCAAGCTTCGGTATGATCATGCCAAGCTTAAGACCAGAGGCCAATTGCGCAAGCGCACGCGCTATGCTTCGGCTACTAAGGTAGCCGCGAGTGCTGGTCAGTCTGTGGCCAACAACCCGCCTACCCACACCACTAGTGGTGGGGAACGGCCTCGGTCTCGAGATGACCATGGCCACGATGCTCAAAAGCCTCCAAAGCATATGGGCAGTCTTGCCGAAGGGGCACCTCATACTCCCATAAGTTTTCAGACTCAGGGTACCCACGCCACTTTACCAGATACTGGTATTGGCCCTGACGACGACGTCGTTTCAGTAGTCTCTCGACATGAAATTGAAGACACCCATGCTCATCGAGCATAGTCGGTGGCGGCCGGTGTACCGGTGGAGGCCCACGAGAAATTGGTTCTCGAAGTGAAGGGTCTTCAAGAGGCCTTGGGTAAGTCCCAGTGCATGCTGGATGCGATGCAAAGCCGCCTTCAGGCGATGGAGCAAGCTCAAACTCGGAGCGAGGCTCAGTTGGACTTGCTGATTCGCCTACAGCAATCCGGGGCAGTGCTCTTGTCGTCGGCGCAAGCGCCTCCAAGTTCACATGGAAAGGATCCCCGTACATAAGCCTACTTAGAACACTGGATGTGTGCGCAATTTGCGCGGGAGGTTTAGCGTATACGCAAGTCCCTTCTTGGCAGTGACCGTAAACGGTCCAATAAAGCGTGGACGTAATTTGGTCTTAAAGACCGCAGACACTACACTTGCAGGTAGTTTTTTTTAGCATTGAGTAATACTTGGTTTCCGACCTCATAACGTTCAATATATTTTCTGCTTTGGCATCAGCGTGTTGTTTTTGATTATCTTGGCTATCAGCCATTGCGTCAAGCACATGTCTTAAGACATTTAATCGCTTTGCGAGAAACTCGCCTACCTGTTTTTGAACAGTAGCAGGGCTGATATCAGCAAGCCGATCGGCAACCTCTCCCTCACCAAGCCCTGAATCACGTAGTGATAGCGCTAACGGAACTCGAGGGCGAGTGACACCGTTTATATAGAACGGAGTAAATCCTGTTGAGGCATGAACAGCGTTATTCAACGCAAACTCAACAACAGGGAGCATTGAGCTCCAACGCCTAGGCGTATCAGCGCAAACACTGCGCAAAATTTCATTGATGACGCGGTTAACTTGCTCAGTTTAACCGTCGGTCTGCAGATGATCCGCTGTGGACATGTCCAACCGAGTGCCCAGCACCTTAAAGATAGACTTCCAAAACTTTCCAGTGACGCGGGGATCTCTATCAGAGACAATTGCCACAGGCAAGCCATGTTGGCGAAACACACGGTCGATAAACAGCTTTGCTGTACCTTCAGCATCGATGCTATCCGGCAGAGCCGCTAAGTGAGCCATCTTGCTTAATCGGTCAACAAAGAGCACAATTCCAGTGTTGCCTTTCAAATCTTTTGGTAGGCCAAACACAAAATTCAGGCTCATGGACTCCCAACAACCAGTAAGTACTGGCAAACTATCCAGCGGCGCCGCCGCATGTGCTGAGAGTTTAACCCGTTGACACGTTTCGCACGTACGCACGAAGATGCTCAACCACTTGTAAAGTTTGGGCCACCAACAACTTTGGCTCACCGAGCTATAAGTCTCCTCACGACCGAGATGGCCACTTAAAGCAGTATCATGTGCCTCATAGAGAATTCAATACTTTAATTTCACATTATGAGGTACAATGATACGAGGGGTATCCTCAATATTCGTGTAGTAGCACAACAGGCCATTATCGATAGAATACCGATGTATCCTTGCACGTATACGTGTCGACAAATTTATGCCCAAGTCTATAAATTCATCGCTATTAAAAGGCCGTTTATAAGCTATACACTGTTCATCCTTAGAACAAGCCACACGGACTAAGTCAGGGACTGATGACGACAGTGTCGCAACATGAGCACGCTCATAGTCAGGTCGGCGTGTATAGCGCATCAGCTAAGGCATTCTGCTTACCTAGCTTGTACTTCACCTCGAAGTTAGATTCGGCAAAGAGGGAAAGCCAGTGAGCCATTCCCTGTGAGAGATGAGGCGACTGTGTCGCAGTGCGTAATGACGCATGATCTGTATAGATCACAAACGGCTTTGAGCCAAGCAAATGTACTCTGAATTTTACAAGAGCGTACTTCATAGCAAGTAGCTCTTTGTCATGAACTGGATAGTTCTTTTCAGCAGCTTTCAGCTGCCGAGACTCGAATGTGATGACGCGTTCGCGTCCATCGACATCTGTTTGTAACAGAGCACTGCATATGGCGAAGTCAGATGCATCACAGACGACACTGAAAGGCCGATCAGGATCGGGCAGAGCCAATGTTGGCGCATGAAGGATACTCGCCTTAACTTCTTTAAAATCATCACGTTCGGTGCTACTCCAACACCAATCCACATCCTTTTTCAGGAGATTGGACAATGGCCGAGCCATATCTACGTAATTCGCACTGTACTTATGTAAGTATTCGGCAAGACCAAGCCACTTATGCAAGTCCTTTTGGTTCTTGGGAACCGGCCAATCGACTATGGCTTTTATCTTAGCGGGATCCGCTCGAAGGCCTCGCTTCCCAATGAAGCACCCTAGAAAGGGAATCTCTTCTGCACCAAAGATGCACTTAGATGTGTTAGCATGCAACTTATTTGTCCGCACGCACTCGAGCACCGCTCGTAGATGATCAATGTGGTTTTTTACATCTGATCGCCCATTCATTGCACCACAATGGACAAAAATTTCATCAAAGTACGTTTGTGCATAGCCTCGATGAGGTCTGAACAGTTGCGTTACCAGCCGGTAAAAGGAAGACGGGGCGTTAAATAGCCCTTGTGGCATAAAGAGCCACTCCCAGAGCATACCGCTCGGAGTACTCACCGCTGATAGTAGAATATCACTTGCTCGCATGAGCAGTTGGTAATAACCATCGACTAAGTCGAGTGATCTGTACAATGTACATCCTATTATATTATTCTGAAAAACATCCTTTATAGGAATAGGCGTCTGAGCCGGTATAGTGCTGCACTAATCTTATTACAAGCATGCACAATACGCCACTTGCCTGTTGGCTTTTATATACAAGATGTCGGTGTTGAATGGGGAGATTTACTATCACGAACCATTTTAGCCGCGTGCTTAGCACGAAGAATTCGTCAGTGACGTCACACTGTTCTTTAGGCAAAGGCCACTGCCGTGTTACGCAGTATTTAGTTCCAGGAACTAAGTCAAATTCATGACGTACACCTCTATCGGGAGGTAAGGCAGAAGGTGGGATGTGACACACCACATCTTGAAATTCCTTAACTAAAGGATAGAACGGATCCAAAGGATCTTTAAGGATCGAAGATCCACTTCGTGCACTAAGTGCCGCCTTTGTATCCTTTAGGACAGACTCATTCATTAACGAGGAAGAGTTCAACTCAGTATCAGGTCAAATGACCGCTAATTCGGATCACTCTCCTGCCTTTAAGGCCTGGCTAAACTCGCCATCAGACATTTCGTCCAGCTCACAAAGAGCATCCAAAGATGGAAGGGTTATAAGGCAAACACTGCCATCAACCTGACCAGTCACTCCATTAACAAGTGCACAAAGTGTATTACTATGATCACTATGTGACTGTGTAGACGCCTGGCGCTTTACAGTTGCTAACCGGCGTCTCGACCGTCTCTTCGAGACCTTACACCCCTTAGGGGTCGGGACAATATTGTCCCCATGGTTACTACCAACCATAGTACGCTCTACACGAGAGCTTATGTCTTGACCGACATCCGGTGAAGTGTTGCATAGCTCGAACACTTCACCCAGTGGATTTGAACGTGCCACTCCACGTGTATTTTGCGGTCTAGCCCTAGATTTCACGGCGTCTCGCCAACAATGTCATTACCGACATTAGGTGTGGTGCTTTCACGGCCGCCCACACTGTACGGCGCATCTCCAACAACGCCATTACCGTCGTTAAGCGTGGTGCCTTCACGGCCGCCCGCACTAAATGGCGTATCGCCAACAGTATCATTACTGACATTAGGTGTGGTGCCCTCACGGCCGCCCACACTATACGGCGTATCGCCAACAACGTCATCACCGACGTTAAGTGTAGTGCCTTAAAGGCCGCCCACACTAAATGGCATATGGACAACAAAATCATTACCGACATTAAGTGCGGTGCTCTTACGGCCGACCGCACTTGGGGTAGTTTCACGTGCCACCACACAAACATCAAAGGAATCACATCCTTTACCACTCGGTAATAGGCCAACCATGCTTTCAGCATACAGTGACTCGTTATCACAACGAGTAACACTCAACGGAGTACGTTTCGTTTCAATAATTTTAGACGAGCTAGGCTCGAAACTTATGTTTGCAACATTGGGGTTAGATAAGTCAAACATACCAATATCCAGCACGTTATCATCTTTTGTCAAAGGCTCGCGCCAAAAGCGCTTCTGTTGCCTAGCTAAGGTGGGTTCGTGACTCTCTAAAACTTTGCTAGGAACATTGCGCGTAGCGCCTAAGGTCTTAGACCTTCAATCAATCCATGGCTCATGGCGTATAAGCCAAGCCATACTTAGAATGAGATCATATCCCGAGTCCAAATCTAGGATAAGACAGCACTTAATTTCGTCAAAGTCTAGAAACTTTATACCTAAGTTTATTGGAACTTTAGGCACAGTAACGCGACTTCCAGTCGCTAAACGTACTGTGGTAGAATCTCCCTCAGGCGCTGTAAGTGCCTCAGCATAGCGCTGACTTCCCTCAAAGGAACGGCGTCGAGCATAATTGCAAGACGCTCCAGAATCGATCAATATCGACCAAGGCTTCTCAAAGACCTTAATTTTCACCTCGGCAACCAACAAGCCCGACTTTTATCACGCACCATACCCGTAGGCATGATACTCTGTGGGACTAAGCCCTGCATTCCTTTACCTTATAAAGGTGTAACAGAACCTAATTCTTCCCCAGTAGGGCGCCCCGCGCCTACTGGGTGTCGGCATGTACCCGTGCCATGCCAGACTTCTGACTCGGGGTAGCGTGTTGGCTTGTAGCCTGGCGTTTCTTACACAAAGGTCAACCAGGCCGCAAGTGTTTAGTGCTTCCGCACGTAAAACATCGTCGTACGACGTGTTGCTGCTCAGCATCTTGAAGCTCAGCTTCACCTTCATCTTCAGCAGAGCTGAGCCCATCGGTTCCGTTCTATTATAGGTAGTGGTACCCGAAGAGTTTGCTCTCACAGAGAGAGGATTGTAACCATTCCAACCAAGTCTGGCCGACTTGAAGTTATGCTCAGCGTTAAGAGCAATTCTTACCGCCTCTTTAAAAGTAGAGGGGTGAACCTGAAAAACCTCGGTTCTGGCAGTGCCAGTACGTAGACCTTCCATGAAGATAGTCACATGGACTGCCTCAGGCAGAGGGTCAGACTGCACTGCAGCCATGAGCGTTCGCAGCTCTTGGACATAGTACGATAATTCATTCTTACCCTGGCGGGTAGAAGAAAGCGTGAACGCACGCGGTAAGCCTGGTTGGGTGGTGAGAACACCTGTACCGATTGTGACTCAAGCGATTCCGATGTGGGAAACGCTATTTCCACCGACGTGCTACACGTCAAGGCCCATTCTCTAGCTCTTCCATCGAGCTTCGAGATAGCCAGCGAGACCTATTGATGGTAAAGCGTGATCAGGCCTGATCTCATGGCCATCTCAATCTCACGGATCCAGAGGATGAGGTTCTCACCCTCCTTACCGGAGTAGTTTTTCACTTCCACTTTTAGAGGACGAGGCATAGCCTCTTCGTCTTGTACAGACACGTAGCGTGTAGGCATAGCCGACGCTATTTGGTCTTGGATCTGCCCTAAAAGTGTCTCTTCATACTGCATGAGGCTTTCAACACGTGCAATTAGCACTTCAGGACCTTGTGAAACACGGAACTCCACGTACTTTGGACCCAAATATGCGGTCAGCTTATCAAGCGCGACCTTTTGGGCCTCAGATAGGGGAGTGGGGTTTTCCATCCTCACAGAGGATCAGTCTTAAAGGCTCAGGCGTAGATTGACTACGAGTGCTACCAAGTGTAGCGGAGCTACACAGCTCCTAAAGTCAGAGGAAGACTTAACGCTCTACGAGCAACTTAGCTCTAAAGAACTAACGACTTTACGAGTCAACAAGCTTTACAGCTTCAGATCCCTGTTCCAGGGGGACCTAACGATTCAGTGAATCGACAGCACTCAGTGCTCAAAAGTAGCTACCTCAAGGAGGTGTCGCTAGCTCTTAGTGATCAGTGATCAACGATCAAGACGGCTCGCAAGCCACGTGTCCTTCCGATCAAAATGGGAACTGATTTTATTTTGTTAAAGCCTATAGAATATCTTGAATCCTACTCAAAGATCTTTCGTACCTAATGGCTGACAATCGTCAGCCCCTACAAACCAATAAGATATTCTATATCACCTTCACAAAGGGGTAACCTCATGTGTGTAACACCCCTGGTACAACGTACTGTAATTTCATGCAGCCCCGTTACAATTCTGATATTGCATTGTTTCAGATCAAAAGTAGAAAAATCCTCCTATTGATTGACAATGCCCCGTCGCAAATCACGAATGACCTTACGTTATTTAATGTCGAGGTCCAGCTGCTTTTACCACGTTCTAACTCTATGATTCAGCGGTTGGATGCTGGTGTCATCGCACCATTCAAGCGGCGGTATCGCCGTTACCATCTGCAGAATGCGATCGACTGTGACGAGCGTAGGGAGAATTTTCACATTTACAAAGTCGACCAAAGTACTGCCATGCGCTGGTCAGTGGCTGCCAAGAACGAGAATTTTAGCACCACCATTGCCAGTTTCTTCCGCCACACGAAGAGTCTTTTTCACTGAGTTGGTCATAATAAGTTCAGTGGAATGGAAAGGAGTAAAGATGGCGCAAGGTAGGTCGAGAAATAGAAACGTGAGCTGGAGATGGGGCAGACAGCACAGCTAAAAAAGCTGCGAGTTCGAGATCCCATGAAGATGTTGGAGCTTCTCGATCCCATCAAAGAGGGTGAGACTGCTTAGCCTGAGCTAATTATCAACGATATTCTAAAAGAGGGTTTGGAGGCAGATGATGAGGAGGAAAACAGTGAAGATGCGGCACCCGTCGCAGAAATATTTACCAGAACCGAGAATTTTATCTATTGTGTGACGCCTGTTCCCTGCTCCCGCTCTTTGCATCCCAGAGGTATGTCTTTAAGCTGCTTACAAAGTCCTTCGCAACCCGTAGCTTGATCTTCGCAACACCCGCGCCTCCCAAACCACCCTCGACATGTATTTCTGGTAGTTTTTTATTCTATAATTCGAAAACAAGTGCTCATTTTTGAAGTTATATAGCCCTATTTGATCATAACTTACAACTTTAAAAATTAGCGGCCATAGAACGAGGTCTGTAGACGCGTAAAACTGTATCCTACTAGAGGTTATAACTTATCGGGGGTCAACTTATCGGGGGTCAACTTATCGGAGGGAAGACTGTGCATACAATTACAGCATTAAAGTCTCCGACATTATTAAATCCTTAAATCGACAATATTCTCTTTTACGGAATAAGGTTCAGGTCTCAAGTGTGGCCCAGGCCAAATGCATCCCAACTCCCTTGCTTTTTTAGTGTCTAGACCAGAATTGCTCCCCGTACATGTATTAAGCTACCACTGAGGGATTACTGCATTCATTCCTCGGATAATTCATAGGCTTAGTGGAGACAAATTTTATGAAATAGCCGAGTTGTGACTTTCGTCAATTTCGAACTTTCTCTTTTCGTGAAAGGCTATTAGTAAACAATTAGTGTACGTTCTAAATTTCATATCACAATGGACCAAGTACTGTCACCAATGCACATAGGATCGAGATTTGCCAGTTTGAGGCTAAAAATATAAAAATGAGCCAAAGTGTTCTGGCAAATTGGGCTTCCGGCAAATTGGTATTTCAAATCCCCCGAACGATATCTCTCTCGTAATCAAGAAGCGCCCTAATCTAGAATCCATAACATGTAATGCTATTGCCGCCAAAAGCCCGGGAGGAGCTTATAATCCAAAGCTGATGGAAGGACTGTCAACATAGGTGCCGTGAGGTCACCAAGAAATGTCTCCCTGATTAGAAAAATCGTTAAATTCAAGACTACCTAATTTACGAACGCCTTAACCTACCTGAGGACACCATCAAGTTCTCTAGTTGATGGTCGCAACGCTTTCAGCAGCGCAACAAGCTGCGCAGAATCGTAATTTTCAGCGGGAAATATCCAGCAAATGATGCAGCCATGGATCCAACAATGACGGGACTTCGGACTGTACTTGCTTCATGAGCCCCACGGTGTTTACTATGTAGATAAAAAAAGGATCAAGAAATCTTTGCTTAAGATGATGTTGCACGACACCAAAAGTAACTCATGCCTTTTTGTAGCTTAATTTAAAGAATACGATTGCATAGAAGAGAATGAGGGTCTCAAGAAATATAAAGCTCGAGTCAGATTTATCATTAAAAAAATTGAGGTTAAAATTATGTAGCTGAAAGAAAATAGCCTTCTTTTTTAGGCAGGTACGGATCTCTATTGCCTTCACGGACCAATGCGGACGGCAATTCACATTCCCATCAGTATGGCTTTCACCACTCAAAGCACTAGTATTCGCTAGTTTAGTACGCTCAGACACTGATTTCCCATACAATCGTACATCTATATATAGGACTATGATTTTTATAGCTCAGGAGTATAATCGTGTGAGATTTTTTCCCACGGAAATATCAAAATTTTTGATAGTTTTGAATTACGAATTTTGAGTTAGTGACCATAGAATGAGCATTTAGTGTAACTCAATTTGAATCGGTTACGTGAGTTATGAGGTATGAGGACATGAGCCATCCGAAGAATGACTATACAAGAAAATTAGGGTGGGTCAAATATCGACTGTCCACGCGTGGAAGTCGGCGAAAACAAAGCCAAGAATCTACCATACCAAATTCAGGTAGGCTCCTTAACTAAAACAAAGTAAATATGAGCTGCGCTGAAGTTCTGGATCCGTTGAGCCAACTACAAGATTTTCGTTAGTCACCCTCAGAGTGTCTCCGGCAGTGAAAATAACTCAAATTTCCTTCCAATTAACAATATGATTTTATTGTGCTCATGAAAGTGCACCACCGTAGCGAAATAACTCGGGAATAACTTAGGAAAAGGTAATCTATTCGATATCCCGCCTATGCTTTGCAGTTCTGCGACACCAGAGATGACCTGTAAAAGTGTATGTCATTTACTAAAACTTTTTGGATCAAATCATTTTTTTTGCTAAGAACGACTGTACATCGTTGGCCCAGGTTATTCGAGGAAATGAAACAATGTGATGTGAACAAGAAACTTCATATCGAAAAAATTAGATATTCTTGTGTCAACGTTGAAGCTGAATGAGCCAATACATTGCGCTACAGCAGCAGTAACTTCGTTTGTACGCCGAAGCGTATCGTCTAAGTAACGGGTCAATTTTCCATTATTTCAGCAGTTCCCGTCACAGTCGAAGACCCTCGCCTTCCTCTTTTCTCCAATCCATTACAATCTATCTTACTCACCTATTCAACCTCAATTGCGCGCGCGAGACCACTACTCTTATTTTTCCCTACCAGTATTTCACGCAGGAGCCAGCCCGTTACCCTTCGAATCGGCCTGAGTCGATGCAGTCCGAATCACGAAGTCAGTCTTAAAGGCAGACACAAGCTCAATTTACTCCTCCAGCGCTTTGTCCGCGCCAGAATAACCCCCGCAAATTGCCTCCTACAGGAAAAAATACACGCCTGAACAAGCAGAAGGGCGAAATGGAATCTACATCCCACTGGAATACCTGGGAAAGTTGACGAGTAGATAAGTCATGTGTTCATGTCTTGCAATGTGCGCTTAATGGATCGGTTCAATCCAGTGTGACTTTCTCCCGAGAAATTGTTGACTGATTCGAGACTAAGAGGCATGGATGTGTCACAAAGGGCATCAGGAGCGTAGCTGCAACAAATAGGAGTATAGGAATATCAGCTAGGCTGTTTCCAAGTTTGTTGGCTGTTATGATCGCGCCGAAGCAAAAGCTCCGAGTACTAACACTGGAAAGCAAAATTGCAGCATCTTGTTTTTCGGGATCCTTCTCATTGGTATAAGGGACAGCCTAACGCGTATCAAGGGGCAATCAAGTGCCTATCCGAATGCACGTTGCATAATCGGACGAACACTAGTTCTAGCAGCCACGCCAAACAAGAGCGTCTATACGCTATCCCATGCGATAATACGAACGAATACGACTTCACTGTGGCCGCTTACATTTTTCCATAGGACATGAAGTAAAAAAAGGCTTGGACGAAGACGTTTAAATATGACGCTTGATGATGAATCTAACGCAATATTCCTACGGTGAATACTCTTTACTCAGCCTCCTACGACTCCGCCAGTGCCAATTTGACGGAAGCGGGACGGCCTATTCGCACAGAACGTGCGAGTTGCAATTTGCACGAAAGTGAACAGTACAAGGAGATCATGACGTACCTTGCGGAGAGCGATGCAAAGATTGAAGCTTATAAATAAGCCTTACGAAATTTATCGAAGTCGATCAATTTTGACAAAGTCAAGGTTTAGAAGTAGAAATTGCTGATTCGTCACGAAAGAGGGTAGGCTAAGAGGCTGGAGAAATGTCTTAAGACTTAATCGAAGTTGAGAATTTCTTAATATATGTGTATATCTCCCAGGGTTATATTAAATGGGATCTGCATAGTGCTTTACGGTAAAGGCGCAAAGGTTTGGCAAATAGAAGTTCAATAATGCAGCAAGCAAAATGACGAGGTATCAATTTAAGGTCAGTTTTAAGGCTTCCTACATTTCGCTTCTGTAACAGAAGGTAGATACGATGGGCTGGATGTAATACATGTTAAAGACGAACCTATTGTACATTTGAACTGTACCGAACCATTTTTTTATCAGGCCGTCGCGCAGTTGCCAATGCATTTGATGATCAAATA